ATGGGACCTACTGGAACGGCTGAATTTACACTTCACGCGTTACAGCACGTACGCGTTGAGTAGATAATACGCGCAGATACGCACCCCCCGGCCCCCCCCCCCCCCGTTAACTTAACTTTTTCCATGTTAACCTATGATGATATTTACACTTCTACTTAGCATCATCGCATGTATGACCGAAGCTGCGCTCTAGATGTAGGATGGATTTTCTAAATTTTTGGCGCGCACCAACGCGTCCCCTCCCATTGATATCTCATGTAACCATGATTTTTCTAGCGGGATCCCTTGGGCTTAGATTGCTTCTACACACACAAAGCACTTGTGTCCCTAAACATCACAGGAGAGCAGCAGGTTTTACAGTGATATTCTGGGATATCGTTTTTTTTCTATCAGAGAAAGTCCTTGCGTCTGGCCAACACCAGCGCACAAAGACCATAGGACAACACATGCATTGATTTGTGTTGCTCTACATCCAGTCCTCTGGCCCCTACTGTCCTCTTCACTGCTCTCATAGACTACACAGGGAGGACAGTATGGGCCAGAGGACTGATGTACGAGCAACACAATCACAAGCATTTTTTTGTGCCCTCATGGTCGAGAGCGCTGGTTTGGGCCATACGCAAGACTTTATGAAAGTAAAAAAACGATATCCAGAATCACTGTAAAACCTGCTGCTCCTCCTCTGATGTTTAAACACAAGTGCTTGTGTGGTAGAGGCAATCTAAGGAGCCATAGGACCGCTAGAAAAACTGTTTTTACATGAGATCATCAAGGGAGACGCGATGGGAGCGCGGCACAAAATTAGAAACCACCTAAATTAAGAGCGCAGCTTCGCGACATACATGCATGATGCTAGAAGTGGAAATATCATCATATGTTTAACATGGAAAAAAGTTACGCGCGGTCTGGCTGCGTCGGAGAACGCTTTACGGCGTAACGCGTGATTTTGTAAATTAGCAGTGTACAGTAGGTCCCCTTCCGTTTGTCGCCGTTCACCGCGTGAATCACACGAGACTCACGTGATTCACGCGTCTTTTATTTTCCCCCCTCCAGTGACGGTTGCAAATAACCCAAAACAACACCAGGTGGCATTGTTTGTGTCTTGTGAGCAGGGTTACATTGGCGAGGTTTCGCCCCGCGCACATCGACAAATCTGGTTAAAACGGGGCGAACGGCCTTGTAGCAGGCAGGCTCTGGAATAACCCGCAGACATTAAACTACTGCAATATAACGTAAACTTTTTGCATCCACGTTGGTGATCGTTCCAAAACGAGGGAGAATATCGTGATGGAAAGAGAAACTATTGGTAATATAACGCTGAAGCGTTATTAGGACTCAACAGCGCCGCGGGTGTCCTCCTCCCACTCAGAAAAAAAAGCAGACTCCTTTGTCTCTGGCATCTCTAACATTTATAAAAAAAACATAAATATAACAATCATAATGAAGATGCTTTCCAAATAATTTAGCAAGCAGTAATTCATTTATTTTAACTGCCAAACTTCTCTCGCTTGCTCCTCTCCTCTCCTCCGCAAATCACTAAATAGAAAAGGGAATATTCACTCATCTATTTTGAATGTTACCACATACAATCTAATTAGTCTAAGCACGTGTACCACATGTACCCTTGTATTTACACAGACTGTAAGTATTAAAGTAGCAATGCAAATTACATTTTTTAAATTACCAATCAGATTTAATTCACACAGTACTTTCCAGCCAGTAAGAGGAATAAAACAGTTTTGAATTATGAAGATCGATAAGTGGTTATATTTTATTACCATAATGATAAGTGCTTTTTTCGCTTATAGTGCAAGTAATTGGTTTAAAACAAAGTGGATACTGTGGAACCATTCTATGTCAAGCCAGTTCCAAGCCTTTATCAATCTTCTAATAGCTGTAACTACATATTTTACTAAGAGTAAACATTAAAATTCACAGTGAAAGAAGGAAACAATTCAGGGATGTTAATTCGATATTCAATTTTACAATTTGGCCGACCCGATTCCAATTCATGGCCGCCAGCTTATCCAAGATGGCGTGCCAACAAGAAATCCGAACATTTTTTTCAAACGACTATGTAATATATCAAAATAAAGTGTAAAGCTATCTAGAATATGATGCTTAGAAATTTTTTGGCAATGCACACACACACACGAGTTTATTATGAGAATTAAAAAAATTCAGACCTCAGCTTAAACATTGTTTATTTATGGGAGACGAATGTTACTGACCCTAGCTTTAAACATTTAGTAATGAACTAAAGTTACATACTCAGCGTTAAACATTTTAGTAATGAAGACTAAAGTTACAGACCCGAGCTTTAGAATCATGTTATAATGAGACTAAAGTTACAGACCTCAGCTTTAAAACGTTATTAATGAGACTAAAGGTTACAGACCCAGCTTTAAACCATGTGTTATTTATGGCGACTAAAGTACAGACCTCAGCTTTAAACATGTGTTAGTTATGTGACTAAGTTACAGACCTCAAACTTTAAACAGGTTATTTATCAGACTAAAGTTACAGACCTCAGCTTTAAGGCATGTTAGTGTTATAGACTAAAGTTACCGGAGCCCGAGCTTTAAACATGTTTAACAACCCTAACACCCGCTTGTTAACATGTAAAATGGGATTATTCCAACCAATGCGATTGGGTCGGGGGTTTGGGCCACGTGACTCGCGTTTATTCTACCCCCCGGAAAAGTGGACTCGCCCGACTTGCCTGCCGCTTCGGCAGCAGAGCAGAGTGTGTGATAGCGCGGCGGTTTTTCAACTTATTCACTGATCCGCGGGGGTCAAAACAACCGTACCTGACTCAATATACCATCATTCTAAAGCTATGATCTGAGATGTATGTGTGTGGTGTTGGTTTTCCAAAACCCCGGTTACTTACCAGGTGTATGATGGCTATTAGGTATCGTCGGATTATAGCTCCGTAACCGCAACAGCTGAGAGATCCGCTTTCACCGTAATGCCATAAATAAAAATTGGTATTAATGATACTGTTTCCCGGTAAGAATTATCACCTCGCGGCGACTCATTAACCGCGCGGAATGCCGAGATATCCCGACTCCATTTTTTTTCAGAGTCCAGACGATCTGTGGCCCACTCTGCCTCATATTCTGGTGCAACTTATTAATTCATATCTCAGGAAATGAAACGGAATAGTCGAGAACAATCCACACATTTATGGCTCTATGAAAAAAATAGTTGATTGATAGTGGTGGTAGGCTATAACTTCTGCTTATTTTCTGGCGTCAAATCAAGAGACGAAGTTAGTAAGACGGCGACCTCTTTTCACACCACAGCGGGTTTCCACTGAGTCTTTCATTGCTAATTAAAGTTATGAGGCCGCCTGCTTTAGGCCTCTGCTGTTAGGCCCCACGTCATCAGGCTCGGGGCCTCGGTGTAGATCACACGTCTGTCCTCACAGGATGTTCTGGAGTGCTTTTAAGCGGGAGTCAAAGGAGCAGATCCTGTTTGTTCAGGCATGATTTATTTTGTTTAACATCCTCCCTGCGCGATTGCAAATGTACTCAAAGGGACTCCCATACCGTGGCTCACATATATAATAATATAAGGGATCAGTAGCTTTCTGACCCGACCCACCCGCACCTGCCGATGACTCATATTTTTGAGGCATCCAACCCGTCCGAAAAACCGCGGGACCCCGCGGGTTGACTGTCGGGTTTCGGCCGACCCGCGCACCTCGCATGTCCCTGTTCAGGGCGCTGCAGGAGCAATGGTCCATTATTTTATTTGGACTTCTGGTCATGCACACTGGTAAACAAGATAAAGTTAGTTCAACCAAAATTTTCAAAGCAACCACTCGAAGGAGTTTTGAGTTGAAGGCATTAACTTAATTCTTTCAAGTTTTGAAGAACTACACTTCTTTAGTTGTGTGCCCATTAAGTTTTCCAAGTGCTGCCAACTAAGTGTTTAAATTCAAGTTTACGCAATTGTCAAGACTGTAAAACTTACTTTTTTAAGTTCAGATTACTGGTCCTCCTACAATTAACTTACAATTTTTGAGTTTAAGATTAAGCTCCCCGACATTAAAAAAGATCAGTGGATTTTATTTATATACGCATTTCATGGACCAAGGTCACGTGGGAGGGCAACCGGAGCACCCGAGGAAACCTATGCAGACACAGAACATGCCAATTCCACACAGAAAGCCCTTTTCCACCGGGGGATTCGAACCCAGGACCTTCGTGTCAGAAGCGAGAGTGCTATCCACTCAGCCACCGTGCCGCACACACTGTGAACCCGAGAGAATATATAAAGGGCTACTTTGGCTTGGCCCTGTCGATTACGGTTGGTAAAAATAAATACAGTGATTTTTTTGGTCAAATTAGTTTGTTCAAAATGTTGAATGCAGCTGGTTGCCATAACACATATTTAAATGAGCAAACGCAGATAAGTTGACCTCACTATAGCTCGGTGAACTGTAAAAACGACAACTCAAAATTGTTCAACCTTACTCAGATTTTTGCATTCACTGACAATAAAATTTCCAGTTGGAACTGGAACTATCTTGTGAGCCACTTGAACTTGTCAGAAGTTCACTACAACTTAAAAGTCAAATCAACTTAATATATCAAATAAGAATGAACTTTTTCATCAGAAACTTCAGAAAGTGAGTGTCGAAAATCAGACGCATAGGCAGGGATCTTTGCACACCAGAGCAACCTGGAAGTTTATTCACAACAGGTGGTAGATTCAGGCAGAACAATAAACAGGGAAACATTATATATTGGATATATTGGCGTCAGTCAGCTAAAACAACGGATACACAATCGTAGCAGATATACAATCAAAGAACATTGTGTGTCTTGTACTTCTATTTTATCTTGTTTTTGTACTACTATACAGGCCATGGCCTTCTATTGTTCATAAGTTCCAACTGGCAATTTTATCGTCAGTGAATGCAAAAATCTTAGTAAGGTGAACAATTTTGAGTTGTATTTTTTTACAGTCCAGCACCAGAAGTCGCATTAATGGTGAGTGTTATAACAACATTATTTAAAAGAATAAATTCAGAGGCTTATTATATATATGATTCGAAGTTTGCGTTGTTTCCGTTAGACATTTTCTGATGCGCAAATTAATTTTTTTAAACATGATGCCAGAGTGTGAACATGTTTTATTGTTGTCCAAATCTTGAATTTCATGCGTGTTTTGGCGTGTTGTGCCGAAGGTTGAAATGAATAGTTGCTAGACTGTAGTAAACTTGTAAAACGATATTGCTAATACAAATGTAAGATGGGTGGGAAACTTTCTTTCTCCGTGTTTTACAAATATAATGGAGTTGGCTGATGAATGTCTGCTTAGTTTTTAACACTAGCAAACCCAAGCGAATTGGCCCCTGTTTTGAAAAGAAGGATAGGTTGGCTGCTAACATTTGCATGTATTGATTTGCAAATTTAGGTAATGACTTATAACAGCAGGGGCCTGGGTGGGCTTTGTTTATTCGTGTGGGGGGGGAGGGAGCGCTGCAAGAGAGTCTTCTGTCCCGTGATTTTAGCAGTGGTAAAACCCTGAAGGAGCTAGCTTGTTTTCCATAGACTGGACACAGCACATTTAATTGACTCTACTTTGTCTGATTGGTCTTTGAAGGTCTTCTCGTGCTTCGTCTCAAAATGACGCTTAACAACTTGAAGTTCTGCACACAACATTTTCACAGCATAAAGCACAGCAAATTTTTTTCACAGCACGGTCCTTCACAAACACAAAACCAAACTCTTGTGTCCAGCAGGACTGGAATGGCCTAGGTTTTGCCTTTTCAGCAGCCGGCGTTGCCATTGTTTACATATCTTATCACTATCATGCTATCTGTCATTCATTCGGCGCGAAGACAGCTGAGAGGGCGCTAATCCACGTAGTGGGTCCTAGTGCCGGCAGTTAAAGCGCACAGACAGAGGCAGATGCTTTTAATAGCCATAAAATGGCCACATCAACATTTCAAAGAGAAAAACACGCCTACACATTTAAACTAAAACAAGTGTAGGTTGAGGCAACATCAAATGATCAGATGCATATAGCAGACAGAGTGACGTGCGGTGAGGATTGGTGATTGGGAGGCACTGACTTTAAATGTCAGATTTACTATCATTATTAAAATAAAATAGCATTTAATCACCGATGCAATAACATTCACAAACTTCCCATGCTGTAAAGATGAGAGAACTAGCTTCTTTTAATAATCTCACAACCAATCTAGTTGCTGACTCTCTGCTCCGCATCAAACAACATCTTTAAGAAGAACAGGTGCGAGAGACGTGAGCAGAGAGAGAGACGTGAGCAGAGAGAGAGACGTGAGCAGAGAGAGAGCGAGAGAGAGAGAGAGAGACGTGAGCAGAGAGAGAGAGCGTGAGCAGAGAGAGAGAGACGTGAGCAGAGAGAGAGAGACGTGAGCAGAGAGAGAGAGACGGAGCAGAGAGAGAGAGCGGAGAGAGAGAGAGAGCAGAGAGCAGGAGAGAGAGAGAGAGAGAGAGAGCAGAGAGAGAGAGAGCTGAGCAGAGAGAGAGAGACGCGAGCAGAGAGAGAGAGACGTGAGCAGAGAGAGAGAGACGCGAGCAGAGAGAGACGTGAGCGAGAGAGAGAGAGACGTGAGCAGAGAGAGAGAGACGCGAGCAGAGAGAGAGAGACGCGAGCAGAGAGAGAGAGAGGAGAGAGAGAGAGACGCGAGCAGAGAGAGAGAGACGCGAGCAGAGAGAGAGAGAGACGTGAGCAGAGAGAGAGAGAGAGAGTGAGCAGAGAGAGAGAGAGCAGAGAGAGAGAAGAGCAGAGAGAGACGTGAGCAGAGAGAGAGAGACGCGAGCAGAGAGAGAGAGAGCAGAGGAGACGGAGCAGAGAGAGAGAGACGCGAGCAGAGGAGAGAGAGAGACGTGAGCAGAGAGAAGAGAGAGAGAGAGAGAGACGCGAGCAGAGAGAGAGAGACGTGAGCAGAGAGAGAGAGACGCGGAGCAGAGAGAGAGAGAGCAGAGAGGAGAGACGTGAGCAGAGAGAGACGTGAGCAGAGAGAGAGAGACGTGAGCAGAGAGACGTGAGCAGAGAGAGAGAGACGTGAGCAGAGAGAGAGACGCGAGCAGAGAGAGAGAGACGTGAGCGAGCAGAGAGAGAGAGACGTGAGCGAGAGAGAGAGACGGAGCAGAGAGAGAGACGTGAGCAGAAGAGAGAGACGTGAGCAAGAGAGAGAGACGTGAGCAGAGAGAGAGAGTGAGAGAGAGAGACGTGAGCAAGAGAGAGAGACGTGAGCAGAGAGAGAGACGCGAGCAGAGAGAGTGACAGAGAGAGAGAGAGGAGAGAGAGAGACGTGAGCAGAGAGAGAGAGAGAGAGGTGAGCAGAGAGAGAGTGAGCAGAGAGAGAGACGTGAGCAGAGAGAGAGACGCGAGAGAGAGACGTGAGCAGAGAGAGAGAGAGGAGCAGAGCAGAGAGAGAGCAGCAGAGAGAGAGACGCGAGCAGAGAGAGAGAGAGAGCAGAGAGAGACGTGAGCAAGAGAGAGTGAGCAGAGAGAGACGAGAGAGAGACGTGAGCAGAGAGAGACGTGAGCAGAGAGAGAGAGAGACGTGAGCAGAGAGACGTGAGAGAGAGAGACGTGAGCAGAGAGAGAGACGTGAGCAGAGAGAGAGAGAGAGACGAGAGCAGAGAGAGAGACGCGAGCAGAGAGAGAGACGTGAGCAGAGAGAGAGCAAGAGAGAGAGACGTGAGCAGAGAGAGAGGCGTGAGCAGAGAGAGAGACGCGAGAGAGGTGAGCAGAGAGAGACGTGAGCAGAGAGAGAGACGCGAGCAGAGAGAGAGAGAGAGAGCGAGAGAGAGAGAGAGAGAGAGAGACGTGAGCAGAGAGAGAGAGACGTGAGCAGAGAGAGAGAGAGAGAGACGTGAGCAGAGAGAGAGAGACGTGAGCAGAGAGAGAGTGAGCAGAGAGAGAGACGCGAGCAGAGAGAGAGAGAGAGAGAGAGACGCGAGCAGAGAGAGAGACGTGAGCAGAGAGAGACGTGAGCAGAGAGAGAGACGTGAGCAGAGAGAGAGAGAGAGAGAGAGAGAGACGTGAGCAGAGAGAGACGTGAGAGAGAGAGAGAGACGTGAGCAGAGAGAGAGAGAGCAGAGAGAGACGTGAGCAGAGAGAGAGACGTGAGCAGAGAGAGACGTGAGCGAGAGAGAGAGACGTGAGCAGAGAGAGAGAGAGAGAGAGACGTGAGCAAGAGAGAGAGCAGAGAGAGAGTGAGCAGAGAGAGAGACAAGAGAGACGTAGCGAAGAGACTGAGCAGAGAGAGAGCGAGAGAGACGGAGCAGAGAGAGAGAGAGGTGAGCAGAGAGAGCAGAGAGAGAGAGAGAGCGTGAGCAGAGAGAGAGAGAGGTGAGCAGAGAGAGAGAGAGTGAGCAGAGAGAGAGAGAGAGAGAGCAGAGAGAGAGAGTGAGCAGAGAGAGAGAGATGCGAGCAGAGAGAGAGAGACGTGAGCAGAGATAGAGGGACACGAGCAGAGAGAGAGACGTGAGCAGAGAGAGAGAGACGTGAGCAGAGAGAGAGAGACGTGAGCAGAGAGAGAGACACGAGCAGAGAGAGAGACGCGAGCAGAGAGAGAGGGACGCGAGCAGAGAGAGGGACGCGAGCAGAGAGAGAGACGCGAGCAGAGAGAGAGAGACGCGAGCAGAGAGAGAGAGACGTGAGTCCGCGTGTCTATGGTCCACGCTCGGAGCCCAGACGGCAGTGCGTTCACTGAGCTGTCAGAGCGGGGATCACAGCAGCTGCTCCCGGGGCCAGAGCGGAGGATTTAACGTAACGTTCGGTTTATCAAAACATATCACAATATTTAACGTATAACACTAGTGAATTTCACCTAGATTTTTTCAGACATTAAAGACGAGATGTTATATAATAATTGTTTAATGAAAAAACAATTTTGCCACAAGCAACCAAAAGATGTGCCTCAGACAAGAATCGAACCTGGGTTCTCCAGGTCCCTGTATTTAATGCTAACCATTCGGCCAACATAGCACCTCTGGGCTAGACAGGTTTGCACGCAGTCTTATACCTGAGCGTCTAAGTCGCTGGCAGAGCTAAAGCGGACTTAGCCTGCCACCTTGTGGCAATAAGATGTACTATTTTTCACGCAGCTGCGTGATTCCCGAGAAGCGTGAATGAAGACGACAAAACGGAATGGGACCTACTGTATACACATGTATATAGACTATGTAGTCTACAAAAAGTATTTGGTTACTATATGTAGACTACATACTCAGCATTTAGTACAGAGAAGTTACATTCAATCATCAGGTGAAGACATTTATTTATTTTACGAAAGTTTTACTATGTGTTGTATGTGTATGTTGTTGTGTGTGTGTGTCTGTGTGTGTAGGTGGCATGTGGACAGGACCACAGTCTCTTCCTCACTGACGAAGGCAAAGTCTACTCTTGTGGTTGGGGAGCAGACGGACAGACAGGTCAGAGCTCTGCTTCACTCATTCTGTAACCACAGTAACCACAGTCTGTAACCACAGTTTGTAACCATAGTAACCACAGTCTGTAACCATAACCATAGTAACCACAGACTGTAACAAAGTCTGTAATCATGTAACCATAGTAACCACAGTCTGTAACCACAGTGTGTATCCATAGTAACCACAGTCTGTAACCATAGTAACCACGGTCTGTCTGTAACTGTAACCATAGTAACCACGGTCTGTAACCATAGTAACCAGTCTGTAACTAAGTCTGTAACCATGTAACCATAGTTACCACAGTCTGTAACTATAGTAACCACAGTCTGTAACCAAGTCTGTAACCATAGTAACCATAGTAACCATAGTAACCACAGTCTGTAGCCATAGTAACCACAGTGATTGACAGTGTAACCATAGCAACCACAGTGGTTGACAGTGTAGCCATAGCAACCACAGTGATTGACAGTGTAACCATAGCAACCACAGTGGTTGACAGTGTAACCATAGCAACCACAGTGATTGAACAGTGCTAACGATACTAACCATTTAGACCTGCCCCCCTCAGGCCTGGGGCACCAGGGCAGCACTCCCGTCCGTGCAGCTGGGGGGGGAGTGGAGGGGGTGAGGGTGCAGCAGATCAGCACATACGCAGACTGCAGCCTCGCCCTGTCCCAGGATGGACAGCTCTACGGCTGGGGCAACTCCGAGTACCTGCAACTGGCCATAGCCACGGACCACGCACAGGTACTGGGACCTCACCACTGGGACCTCACCACTGGGACCTCACCACTGGGACTTCACCACTGGGACCTCACCACTGGGACCTCACCACTGGGACCTCACCACTGGGACCTCACCACTGGGACCTCAGATTTCTATAAGACAGGTTTATGTTCCACCAGTCGATATTGAACCTATTGATCTGTTGCACGTCTCTGAAACTGTAAAAATATCACATGATACAATTCCATTGTGATGGTTAATATTTAATATTGATAAATGTTAGATATTTCATCAAAACACGAACTTCATCTGATACACAAGACTACTATGTGACATTTATAGTATTTTAATTGTCCATGGTGTAGAGACTGTATGAGCTGCTCCAGTGTTTCTTCTTTGTGTGTGTGAGGTGAACTCCCCCCGCAGACTGCCCCTCTCTGGCTGTGGCAGGGTAGTGCAGGCGGCGTGTGGAGGATCTCAGGTGGCTGTGCTCAACGGTGAGACACACACTCACGCACACGTACACGCACACATATACAGTGGGGCAAAAAAGTATTTAGTCAGCCACCAATTGTGCAAGTTCTCCCACTTAAAATAATGACAGAGGTCTGTAATTTTCATCATAGGTACACTTCATCTGTGAGAGACAGAATGTGAAAAAAAAACCCAGGAATTCACATTTTAGGATTTTTTAAGAATTTATTTGTAAATTCCATCCATCCATTTTCTACCCTTTAATCCATTTCTGGGTCAGGGGGGTGGCAATCAGAGATGCCACCCAAGTCTCATAGCACCAGCCCCTCACTGATCCTCTGCAGGTGGTGAGCCCACAGGAGGACGGCTGCTCTCTAAGTGTGAGCATAGCCTTGATCTTTCAGTGGGGGCTTGGGGAAAAGTGGGGTTAAGTGTCTTGCCCAAGGACACAACGACAGCAGTCATCAGTGGGAGTCGATGGAGAAGGTGCAGATGTGGGAATTGAACCCACGACCTTCTGGCCTTAAGGCCAATGCTCTACCAACTGAGCTACTGTCGCCCCATATTTGTAAATGAAATTTGTAAATTATGGTGGAAAATAAGGATTTGGTCAATAACAGAAATTTAACTCAATGGAAGGAGGTTTTGGCTCAAAATCAGATTCAGATTCAGTTTATTTGCCATTTGCAGTAAAAACACCACATAGGAATACATTAGCAAAAGTCTCCAGTATGCACAGACAAATACAGACATAAAACAACATTAAAAGACAAAAATAAAACAAATAAAACAGTAAACAAATGTCACTGTGAAATCGATCGACTCAAACAGTTTCTAAACAAGTGCAAATCATTAAAGTGCTCTGTTCACACTGATAACAGCTTGTGGATAAAAACTGTTAGCGTAACGAGATGTCCTGCATCTCAGAGAGCGATATCTTCCGCCAGAGGGAAGAAGCTGGAACATGACTTTCCCAGGGTGGCCAGAAGAGTCATTGACAATCCTAAGAGCTTTGTTTAAAAGTCTGGATTTATAAAGAACCTCCAGAACAGGAAGCTCACAGCCCACGGTCCTCTTTGCAGAGCGGAGCACCTTGTTTAAAGCTCTCTTTTCTTTATCTGTGATGTTTCCAAACCACACAGACACAGAACCAACAAGTAAACTCTCAATGGTGCAGCGATAAAAGTTAAGCAGAATCTTAGAGTTAGTGGTAAATTCTCGAAGTTTACGCAGAAAGTAGAGACGCTGACGAGCTTTCTTAACGACTCGGTCAGTGTTTTTAACCCATTTCAGGTCGTTAGACAGAGTTAAACCCAGAAACTTGCACTCCTCTACGATCTGCACCTGGGAGTTGTCAATTACGACAGGCAAATGAGAACTATTGCGACTGAAGTCGTAGACCAGTTCACATGTTTTCGATGCGTTCAACTGGAGGTTGTTAGTTTTACTCCACTGAACCACATTTTGTATCTCTGCTCTATAAGAGGATTCATCATTGTCACTGATGAGACCGATGATGGTGGTGTCATCAGCATATTTGATGATCAAGTTTGAGTCAGAGGAGGACACACAATCATGAGTGTACAAAGTAAAAAGCAAAGGACTCAAAATACATCCCTGAGGAGAACCAGTGCTCACAGAAACAACATCAGAAAAACAGTCATTGATTTTCACTCTCTGAGATCTGTCAGTTAAAAAGCTAAAAATCCATTTACACATGGCAACACTTAAACCGAGAGACATGAGCTTTTCAATCAGTTTACCTGGGACAAGGCAGTTAAAAGCAGAGCTATAATCGATGAAAAGCATTCTCGCGACAGATTTACTAGTGTCCAAGTGACTGTAGACAGAGTTCAGAGCAAAGGAGATGGCATCCTCCACACTCCTGTTCTGTCTGTAAGCAAACTGGAGCGGGTCAACACTCACAGGGATCTGGCTCTTAATGAAGTCCAGCACAAGCCGCTCAAAAGTTTTCATAAGAACAGACGTGAGGGCCACAGGACGATAGTCATTCAGGCATGTCACAGGAGTTTTCTTAGGAACTGGAATGATGGTCGACTCTTTAAAGCAGTTCGGCACAGTACAGTTCCTTAGCGACAGGTTGAAAATGTCTGTTAGCACAGGGGCAAGTTGCTCAGAGCACAGTTTCAGGACACGAGGGGGGATGCCGTCCGGGCCTGGGGCTTTCCGGACTGTGGTCCCGGACAAGACACGCCTGACTTCCTCCTGAGTCACGGTGAAGGCAACTTGATTGAAACACTCAGGGAATACAGTAGAACAGGCATCAGCGGATTCAAAGCGACAGTAGAACGTGTTCAGCTCGTTTGGCAGAGCTTGGCCGACAGATGCAATTTTCCCAGCACTAGGTTTCCACGATGTGATGGCTTTAATACCGTTCCACATGCGCCGAGGGTCATCTTCCTCAAAATAACTCTTTAACCTGTCCCCGTAACTGCGCTTTGCAGATTTAATAGAACGTTTCAATGAGTAACAGGATAGCTTATAAGCAACTGTATCATTTGATTGAAACGCCAACGCACGCTCATGAAGTTTCAGTTTCACTTCCGCGTTCATCCAAGGGTTTTGACTAAAATGTTCTTTAATGACCTTCTGTGGGACACAACAGTCAATACATAAGCGTATATATCCAGACACAGCGTCACAGAATTCATTGACGTCCTCTGACTGAAACACAGTCCGTAGCATCAAAACAACCTTGTAGCTTCATGCTAGCCTCCTCAGACCAACACTGCACAGTGCGAGAGGTTGGTTTATGTTCCCTGCTCCTCTGAGTATACGAAGGAAGAAGGAGAACAGAGGAGTGGTCAGACTTTCCAAAAGGAGGTCTGAGACTGGACCTGTAAGCTCCCTTCACGTTACTGTAGCAGTGATCCAGAACATGTGCTCCTCTTGTAGCTTGAGTCACATGTTGGTAAAAGTTCGGGAGTACAGTCTTTAAATTACATTTATTGAAATCCCCAGCAACAATGATGACTGTGTTAGGATAAGCAGACTCATGTTTGTGAAGGATCTCGCTCAGATCCTGTAGGGCTACTTTGTAATCCGCACGTGGGTGAATGTAAACAGCACATAAAAATATCACTGAAAACTCACGGGGAAGATAAAAAGGCGGCAGCTCAAGACCAGGCATTCCAGATTGGCAGTACATGTTTGGTTCACGATTCGAGTGTCCGTGCACCAGCGCTGATTAATTAAAAAGCACACACCTCCGCCTCTGGCCTTGCCCGTGGTCTCCTTCACTCTGTCCGCGCGGTGAGCGGTGAATCCCGGGGGCTGAACAGCAGAGTCCGGGACGTTCGAGTGGAGCCACGTCTCGCTAAGGCAGAACACAGTGCAGTCCCGGGCCTCGCGCTGGCTCTGGACCCGACACAGGAGCTCGTCCGTCTTGTTGGGCAGAGACTGGACGTTGGCCAGGTAGATGGAGGGCAAAGGGGTCCTGGAGGAGCGGCTACGAATGAGCAGACCGCCTCGCCTTCCCCGGTGTCTGCGCCTCCTTCTCCGACTCGAGGTGCCCAGCTCCACACCGCGGAGAGAACGCCGGAGACGCCCAGTCCCCTCGCTCTGTTAGCGGCCACCGCCGTGGCCCGCCTGCCGTGCTCCACGGGCCTCTCGAGTGGGACACTCGAGGAAGTTTGTGCACCTCAGTTCAAGTAAAACGAGTGACCCGTCACCCGCGTGGTCCCGAATGTACAGAAGTGTTTGCCGATCATATTTCACTGTGGCAAGTGAATCCCAGACGAAAATCTCACGATACATTGCCCCATTCATTCTTTCCTTAACACGGATCAGTCGTCCTGTCCCCAAAGCATGATGTTTCCACCCCCATGCTTCACTGTAGGTATGGTTTTCTTGGGATACAACTCAGTATTCTTCTTCCTCCAAACACAACAAGTTGAGTTTATACCAAACAGTTGTACTTTGGTTTCATCTGACCACATGACATTCTCCCAATCCTCTGATGTATCATCCATGTGCTCTCTGGCAAACTTCAGACGGGCCTGGACATGCACTGGCTTCAGCAGGGGGACACGTCTGGCACTGCAGGATTTGATTCCCTGTCGTCGTAGTGTGTTACTGATGCTAACCTTTGTTACTTTGGTCCCAGCTCTCTGCAGGTCATTCACCAGGTCCCCCCGTGTGGTTCTGGGATTTTTGATCACCGTTCTCATGATCATTTTGACCCCACGGGATGAGATCTTGCGTGGAGCCCCAGATTGAGGGAGATTATCAGTGGTTGAAATATAGTTTTGGGCTACATTTGGGCTATCTTTTATACAGATAACAGGTTCAAACAGGTGCCATTAATACAGGTAACGAGTGGAGGACAGAAGAGCTTCTTTACTCATTGTGTCCCATTGACGCATAAATACGTCAAATGCCTTTTTTGCTATTTTCACGTTCCCAGATGTCTTGTATCTAATATGTATGGGGATGACTTGAGACCATATTTTATCGAGCCAGCAGGTGGCAGCATTGCTCTCTGAATGGTTTGAAAACAGTTAGGTGCACATGTTGTGCCTCTTTTTTCTCAACTTTCTGGTGATTTCAGTAAAACTTCCCTCTACTCGACGGAGGATTACAGGGGAACGAAAAAAGCTATAAACAAAATTATTTTTGCTGAGGAAAGTAGACAGTCCATTCTTTTGGAATCTGGGGGATTTCAGATAGTCATAGTACACAATATTCTGTGGGTCTTTAAAAATCAGTAAAAACCATCAGAAACGGCTGGCAATATGGGAGTACCTGTTCTGAAATGGGCTGGCAGTCAATGAGTTAAAGAAGAAGTTACAGGTCTGTGAGAGCCAGAGATCTTCCTTGTTTGAAGTGAACAAACCATAATTTACAAATAAATTCTTTAAAAATCCTACAATGTGCATTCCTGGATTTTTTTTCACATTCTGTGTCTCACAGTTGAAGTGTACCTATGAAAATTACAGACCTCTGTCATTATTTTAGGCACAATCGGTGGCTGACTGAATACTTTTTTGCCCCACTGTACACGCGCACACATACACATACACGTATATACGCACATGTACACGCACACATATACACGCGCACACACACAGTGGTCTCTGCTCCTTATGGACCAGTGTCTCTGTGTTTGAACTGATTGTCTGATCTGTGTTGGAGAATCGACATCTTTGTGAAGTCCTCAGATAACACTGTTGTGATTTAGGGTGATACACATTTATTTTGAATTGAACTCCTATTTCACTTGTGTTATTTCCGTTTTATGATTTAAAGCCAAGTAACTACTACATTTATGACTTTATGTTTATGTTTTTGGTCAAATATAAAAATAACACATTCTTCAGTATAATGTGTGATTTAAGTTACACTCATTAGCTTTGATTAGTTAGAGCCAGTCTGTATGTTCTACTTTTTATTGACTAATCCCCTCAGACCAGGGGGAGGTGTTCGTCTGGGGCTATGGCATTCTGGGTAAGGGCCCCCGTCTGTCTGAGAGCGCGGTCCCGGAGCAGATCCCTCCTTCTCTGTTCGGAAAGAGCGACTTTAACCCTTCAGCCGCCGTCACCAAGATCCGCTGCGGACTGAGCCACTTCGCAGCCGTCACAGGTGGGTTTCATCCTGTTTCTTCTGTTTCATGAAGTGGACTTTACACTTTGGTAAAGGTTCTGTTGATGTGTATGAAGTGGACTTTACACTTTGGTAAAGGTTCTGTTGATGTGTATGAAGTGGACTTTACACTTTGGTAAAGGTTCTGTTGATGTGTATGAAGTGGACTTTACACTTTGGTAAAGGTTCTGTTGATGTGTATGAAGTGGACTTTACACTTTGGTAAAGGTTCTGTTGTGTGTGAAGTGGACTTTACACTTTGGTAAAGGTTCTGTTGATGTGTGTGAAGTGGACCTTACACTTTGGTAAAGGTTCTGTTGATGTGTGTGAAGTGGACCTTACACTTTGGTAAAGGTTCTGTTGTGTGTGAATTGGACTTTACACTTTGGTAAAGGTTCCGTTGTTGTTTCTTTGTGTTTGTCTCAGATCGAGGAGAGCTGTTCGTGTGGGGCAAGAACATCAGGGGCTGTCTGGGCATCGGCTCCAGGGACGACCAGTACTTCCCCTGGAGGGTTAGTGTCAGGGGAAACAGACACACACACAGAGTATAGTTTACACACAGAGTATAGTTTACACACAGAGTATAGTTTACACACAGAGTATAGTTTACACACAGAGTATAGTTTACACACAGAGTATAGTTTACACACAGAGAATAGTTTACACACAGAGAATAGTTTACACACAGAGAATAGTTTACACACAGAGAATAGTTTACACACAGAGTATAGTTTACACACAGAGTATAGTTTAATGAGGGTCTGTGCTGCAGGTGACTGTGCCGGGGCTGGTGGTGGATGTGGCATGTGGAGTCGACCACATGGTGGCGCTGGTCAAGTCTTTGATCTGAGCTCATTCTGTTCCTACTGTAGGTCACAGACTGTAGGTCACAGACTGTAGGTCACAGACTGTAGGTCACAGACTGTAGACCACAGACTGTAGACCACAGACTGTAGGCCACAGACTGTAGGCCACAGACTGTAGACCACAGACTGTAGACCACAGACTGTAGACCACAGACTGTAGACCACAGACTGTAGGCCACAGACTGTAGGTCACAGACTGTAGGTCACAGACTGTAGGTCTTAGACTGTAGGTCTCAGACTGTAGGTCTCAGACTGTAGGTCACAGACTGTAGGTCACAGACTGTAGGTCACGGACTTTAGGTCACGGACTGTAGGTCACGGACTGTAGGTCACGGACTGTAGGCCACGGACTGTAGACCACAGACTGTAGGCCACAGACTGTAGGCCACAGACTGTAGGTCACAGACTGTAGGTCACAGACTGTAGGTCTTAGACTGTAGGTCACAGACTGTAGGTCTCAGACTGTAGGTCTCAGACTGTAGGTCACAGACTGTAGGTCTCAGACTGTAGGTCACGGACTGTAGGTCACGGACTGTAGGTCACGGACTGTAGGTCACGGACTGTAGGTCTCGGACTGTAGGTCTCGGACTGTAGGTCACGGACTGTAAGTTACAGACTGTAAGTTACAGACTGGGTCACAGACTGTAGGTCTCAGACTGTGGGTCACAGACTGTAGGTCACAGACTGTGGGTCTCAGACTGTAGGTCTCAGACTGTAGGTCTCAGACTGTAGGTCACCGACTGTAGGTCACAGACTGTGGGTCACACCCTGTGGGTCTCAGACTGTAGGTCACCGACTGTAGGTCACCGACTGTAGGTTGCAGACTGTAGGTCTCAGACTGTGATGTGAACTGTCTGAAGTGATGACCTCATCATGAAGTCAATGGACCCAAAACATCTGCAACATCTGTAACATTTGCAACACCTGCGACGCCTGAGACGTCTGAAACGAAATGTTTGTTCCTCATTATTTCTATTGAACAGAACGTTTGTAATTGTTTTTCTCTGTAATAAAATAATAATAATAAAGTAGTGTTGTTGAGCCTCTGGCTCTTCTTTTCACACATCTGTCACACACCATGTGGACACACACATCTGTCACAGACCATGTGAACACATCTGTCACACACCATGTGGACACACACGATGTGGACACACACATTTGTCACACACCATGTGGACACACACATTTACTTTTAGCTGTAGTTTAACTAAACGTAGCCTCTGAAGCTAAAACAAAATGTCCGTGGCTTTTATTATGAAAATCCCACTTCCGCCGCGCGTGTCTCCGCGGTGCAGAAGCTGGGACGAACAGCTGCAGCTGTGTACGTCTCTTCTGCCTCCGACACAACCGGGAACTGAGAGCACCAGGAACCGATCAAGCACCGGGAACCGGAGCAGGAGGTGAGAACACTCCCCCGGGATCATAGCGGGGTCCGGGTCCCGTTATCACCGTAGGACGAGGTCATGATGAAGTCCGCTACGGGACGTCCCGGCAGAGCACCGGAGGAGGAGACATTGGGGCAGCGGTCTCTACCTTCTCCCACAGAGACTTAGACTGAGCTTCTCATATCCAGAACACATTTCTCTACAGGAGTTTTAATGCTGTCAAAATGTGACATTTGGACCATTTCTATCTTTTTGGGTCTTTCTGATGTGTGTTTTTTCTAAAATCTAACATAACTGATTGATATATTTACTCCAACAATGATGTTTGGAGTGACAGGTTCCTCTGAGAGACATGTGACATCACAGGCTTAGATCTGTATCAGAGACATTTGTTTTACAGCCTCTTCATGACGTCAGAGGATTTTAATCAATAATAATAATATAATACATCGTTCTTATACAGCACTTTTTGGACACTCAAAGACGCTTTACAGAAGAAATAAAAGAAACAAAAACCATACAAAACTAAAAAGTGTACATTTTTAGTTTTTGATCGGTTTGGTTTTGATTTGAAGTTTTTAATGCAGCCCTTTTCATAATCACACTCTAACATTTGCAAGAAAATAAATATATCCAAAGAACAATAAGCTGTAGTTTAATCAGGCAGGTTTATGTGTGTAGCACACTTCATGCACTAAGCAACACAAAGTGAAACAAAAGAATACAGAATGCAGATTATTTTCTTTCATTACACTTCAATAAAACACAAAGAGTCAAAACAAAACCAACTCAGGATGTTTTTCTAGTTTGTTCAGAGAAAGTTCAAAGCATTGAACACTTTTTTGTCTGTTGTTGCTCGATTAAATCTAGTTTCAGGTTTTGAGCCAAGACTCTTCAGCAACAGAAGGAATGAGTTTAATCCACTTTTATTTGTATCGTGCCTCCTACACAAGGCAACACAAACACCTCACACACACCTCACACACACAACACAAACACCTCACACACAACACAAACACCTCAGACCCACATCAGGCAAATATCATAAACATTAAACAACATTAAAAAAACACTATATGATCATAAAAAATATAATATTAAAAACATAAAGAATAAGATCCCAGTAATTAAAAACCTTAAAGTCACACCTGGGATTAATGTCGTAAAAATCCACAGCGCATTTAAAGGAGCAAAGATAAAATCAAAGATAAAATAATTCATTTGTAGCAGAAACAACTTTATCTTTGGTCTAAAGCAAACATTAGACATTTTTATAGATTATAATTTAAACACAAACATGATCCCAATGAACCAAAGAAAGCTGTGGTCGCCAGTTCGTCTGTGTGTGTTTCAGAGGCTCCGGACCCCGAGGGGAACATGGAGGCCCCTCTGCAGGCCGGCCCTGGGCTCCGCTCCAGGCTCCTGAGGCGATACACACATGGGCCTCTGGTGTGGTGTGTGAGGGGCCTGTCCGGCTGCCACTGGGGCCCCGAGGAGAGGAGTCCTGAACCTGGAGACTGTGGCTGTAACAAGGTGCTGTAACACTTTGGGAGCATGTGGTGTTGTTTTATCGTCACAGAGTGTAGAGTTAAGAACAAGGACATAACATCTGCTTATTGTTCGCATTAGCAGTGTTACATCACAGGTCAAACAGAGGCTGTTTAGATTCACAGAAAACATCCATCATTCACTGCCATGGGAGCCTCCTGGGTCTACAGCCTCAGTCCTGGGTCTACAAGCCTCAGTCCTGGGTAGTCCTTGGTCTACAGCCTCAGTCCTGGGTCTACAAGCCTCAGTCCTGGGTAGTCCTGGGTCTACAAGCCTCAGTCCTGGGTAGTCCTGGGTCTACAGCCTTAGTCCTGGGTCTACAGCCCTGTGTGTTCTCCTGTTTGACTCTCTGATCTGCTGTGGGGAATCAACAGCTTTGAGACGACAGATGTTGTGGTCTCGGGCAGTACACACTTGGACCATTGGATTGTGTTGCTTTGTGTGTCCTGCTCCACACGACCTGTTCACCAGCTCTAGCTTATGTGAGAGTTTCATAACGTCTGTGTGAGGACCGCAGCAGAGAATCACTGATTATTCAGTGGGATTTTCTCAAAAAGTCCTTCATACATCGTAGAAAACATAAACTGCAGCAGTTAAAGAGCCTGCATTCTCAGGGTAAAGTCCATCTCTGTCTCCATGGTAACGTGTGTGTGTATGTGTATGTTGTGTGTCTGCGTATGTGTTTCTATGTTTGTGTGTGTATGTCTATGGTGTGTGTGTATCCTATTGATATTTGTGTGTGTGTGTGTGTGTTTGTGTATGATGTGTGTGTATGTTTACTGTGTGTGCATGTGTGTGTATATATGTGTGTGTGTGTGCATGTTTACTGTGCTTGCATGTGTGTGTATACATGTGTGTATGCATGTCTATGTGTGTGTGTGCATGTTTACTGTGTGTGCATGTGTGTGTATATATGTGTGTGTGTGCATGTTTACTGTGTGTGCATGTGTGTGTATATATGTGTGTGTGTGCATGTTTACTCTGTGTGCATGTGTGTATATATATGTGTGTGTTCGTGTATATGTGTATGTGTCTGTATCTGTATGATGTGTATATATGTGTGTGTACAGGTAGAAGGACTTGGTGTGGCTCTGCTCACTGTGGCCTTCTTCGTCACTCTGGTTTTTCTGTACTTCTGGGGACAGGCCAAGAACGATTACAACGACTTCGACTGGTGAGTGCAGCCCTCCATACACTGCGGAGGAACATCTTCTGGAACAGTCTTCCTGAACATGTGAAAATATCCTTTTTAATCGTGCTACAATCGAGGGATTTTACCTTCACTCTTTTTAATTATTTATGATGTTAAAACCTTGTGTTTTGGTCAGCACCTGTGTACGAACAGTGCTATACAAATAAACTTGCCTTGGTGCATCTGCAAACGCCACCTTCCTCCAGAGACAGGGTTTAACTGAGTCCCACTGGGGCCTCTGCCAGGAGCCAGAAAGGGAGGGGCCTGTGCTGGGAGCCAGAGGGAGGGGCTTCTGCATGTTTTTATTCTCCCTGTGGATGTTTGAGCTGAAGCACTGCAGGACACTAAACAACTGCAACGATTGTTTTTACTGTCGTCAAATATGAGTTTAAACAACTGTGTGTGTCTGTGTGTGTCTGTATGTCTGTGTGTGTGTCTGTGTGTGTGTGTGTAGGTTCACCTTTGAGACCCTGGGTTTCTGGTTCCACTGGTCTGTGCTGCTGCTGGTCGTCATCGCGGTCCTCTTCAGTTACATCGCTGCTCTCATGGTCAGACACACACACAGACACACAGACACACAGACACACAGACACACAGACACACAGACACACACACACACAGACACACAGACACACACACACACACACACACACATACACATACACATACACATACAAAACATCACCCTAAAAAAGTGTCAGTTTGTAGTTAGTTAGATGTTGTGTTGATGATGTATTTATTTTGACATGTGAACAATGTAACCATACTATAATATAACATGTACTGGGTGACGGAAACAAGAATGAAAACTCAATAAAGAATTTATCACAAAAAAACACTTTACAACAAGATATATCATACATATATTGATCGTGCTGAAGTTAGCTGCATGACGCTGTGAACTGGTGTCTATGATCTTAAAGACTGCTGTCGAGGCAAAGGGCCAGGTAGCATGGAACAGAGGGCCGCATTTGGCCCGCGGGCCTGAGTTTGGACATCCCTCAATCCAATCCACTTTATTTATATAGCACACTTTATAAAACAAATTTCCAAAGTGCTGCACGGAGATCCCTGATTGAAAGAATATGAAAAGTGAAATTTTTTGTGTGTTTGTGTTAATTGTGGGACCATAGATATAACGCTTTAACGCTGGTTAAACTGATGGTGTAGAGTAGAACCATCATTATCACAGAAGCAGTATCGTTGTTACCAAACTGCTCCTGTAGTCGTTCTCTGTGCCGGGACTTGGCTGCTTTAAGTTTGTCCCTGAACTGATATTTAGCTGCTTTGTAGCCGCTGCGGTCCCCCTCCCTGAAAGCAGACTCCTTTGCTTTCCTGAGCTGCCGGAGTTTAGCAGTGAACCAGGGTTTGTCGTTGTTATAGATGACCCTGGTCCTTGTTGGAATTATGCTATCCTCGCAGAAGTGCATGTATGACGTCACAGTGTCCGTGTAGTCATCCAAACTATCTGTGGCAGCTCTGAAAAGGTCCCAGTTTGTAGATTCCATGCATGCTGAGAAGCCGAGGGCTGCTTTGGGAACAGCGCGAAAAAGCACCGCGCACAGTGGTGTAACAGTGATCCAGAGTGTTCTCCTCTCTGGTCGGGCATTTGATAAACTGTCTGTATTTGGGTAATTCCTGGCTCAAGTTTCCCTTATTAAAATCCCCCAGGATAATAATCAGAGAGTCCGGGTATAAACGTTCCATACACTGAACTCTGCGAGTGCACGCTGAGCCTGGCGCGTGTCTGCGCATGGCGGTATGTAAACAGAGGCAAGAATGAATGAAACAAATTCACAAGGGGAGTAAAATGGTTTACAATGAATGAAAAGGTATTCCAGAGCAGGAGAACAGTGCTTGGAGATCACTGTCACATTGTTACACCAGTTTGTATTGACAGAGCCCTCCGCCTCTGCTCTTTCCTGATAGCGCACAATGGCGATCCGCGCGGAACAGCCCAAAGCCCTGCAGCTCCAGAGCGCAGTCCGGGATCCGCTCATTTATCCAGGTCTCAGTGAAGCAGAGGACACAGGATGAGGCGAAGTCCTTGTTTCTTCTCATGAGCAGGCCGAGTTCGTCCATTGCCCAGTGAGTGCACGTTGGAGAGAAAAATGCCGGGGAGAGCCGTGCGAGCTCCTCTTCTCCTAAGACGCACGAGCAGGCCTCCGCGCTTTCCCCTTTTACGGGAGCACACGTTTTTGGCTAGAACATGGACTAAATCAGCCGCAGATGCCAAGAAAACAGGCAATAGGTCCATGGGAATGGTGGGTCGGATGTTCATAAGTTCCTCATGGGTGTGGGAACAGCCAGATGCACAGTTACAGGTACACACAACACACACACACACACTGGGCTCACAAGGTACACACAACACACACACACACACACTGGGCTTACAATGTAAAAACACACTGGGCCCACAAGGTACACACACACTGGGCCCACAAGGTGCAGGTGTGTGTGGCTCTGTGATGACTCGTGAGGACTGGTGCAGGTGTGTGCGGTTTGTGATGACTCGTGGGGACTGGTGCAGGTGTGTGCAGGTTTGTGATGACTCGTGGGGACTGGTGCAGGTGTGTGCAGGTTTGTGATGACTCGTGGGGACTGGTGCAGGTGTGTGTAGGTCTGTGATGATTCGTAAGGACTGGTGCAGTTGTGTGTTTGTTTGTGATGACTCCTGAGGACTGGTGCAGGTGTGTTTGGGGCCCCTGGTGACCTGTGGACCCTGGTGCAGGTGGTGGTGGCCCTGGTCCTCCTCCTCTCGCTCGGGGGCCTCTCAGCGCTTTCAGAATTGTGGAGTGGAGAGTGGAAGACACTACTGCTTTCCTTCCAGGTATCTGCACACACACAACATCATACACACACACACACACACACACACACACACACTGCAAACAACATACACTACACTCAGATCACACAATATCACACACAGAGGACACACACACTCAACATAAAATACATACAGCGCACAACACACATAAGAAAGTACACACCACAAACACACATTCACAAAACACCATCATAATTTGAATAAAAGCATATTAAATATTGTCAATAACATTTAACATATATGGACATGAAAAATAAACTTTCTGAGCCTTTAACCAAGTGGCATCGTTGTCCCTCATCACATGGCAGTGGTTAACAGCCGGTATTGTTTAAATATGGAAAAACAATTTGAACTGCTCCCTCTGATGGAAGCACAGGGGTAGCACAGGTCAATAGCACATTTACTTTGACACTTGTTTCACCAAATAGTTTTTCTGAAGAAAATATTTCACATTTTAAAACATGAAACATGGTGTGCGCATTTGTGTGTGTATGTGTGTCTGTTTTTTGTGTCTCTGTGTGTATGTCTGTGTGTGTCTGCGTGTGTGTACCTGTGTGTTGCCAGATAACTGCCCCCTTCCTGCATGTGGGCGGTCTCCTACTGATGACCGCTCTGTCGTGGCCAGTGGCTGTGTTTGTGTCTCAGACGACCAGCTCAGGTGCTTCTACACACTTCATTTATCAACTCATACTTATTCAGGTTCATGCTAAAATCTGGAACAGTCCTCCTGAAAATGTGAGACAGGGTTCTCGCATTCCAGGTTAAAAACAGTTCTGTTCATCAGTGCTACAGATTGTATTATTATTCTTTTTTATATGTACTGTGATTTTTTATGATTTTAATGCCTTGTGTGTTTTCTCTCTTGTTTTGTTCAGCCCTTTGAGTTTCCTTGTGCATGAACTGTGCTATACAATTAAACTTTCCTTGTCTATTCAGTAAACGCAGTAACACATCAGCATAATGCAACTTTAGTCGCCTACATTTATTAAACACTTTCTAATCACATTATTTTAAATACATTTTATCATTTTGACCAATAATGTGATATTGGATAATTTCCAAAGACCATTGAACAACACTACTGTTCCACTGGTTGAAAAACATCATATTTTTCTTTCTGGAAGGTTCTTCATGAGATCAGAGTAATCCTGGAGCTCAGTCACAGTGACCCCTCAGTTTGGGCAGCGACAATCTCTGCGAGTGCTTAGAACTTTTACACTTGGGTCCATAAACTGTTCCTTAGACCTCAGGGCCTGGTCTGAAGTTCCCCAGACTATTCTTTAGACCTCAGGGCCTGGTCTGAAGGTCCCCAGACTGTTCTTTAGACCTCAGGGCCTGGTCTGAAGGTCCACAGACTGTTCCTTAGACCTCAGGGCCTGGTCTGAAGGTCCCCAGACTGTTCTTTAGACCTCAGGGCCTGGTCTGAAGGTCCACAATATGTTCCTTAGACCTCAGGGCCTGGTCTGAAGGTCCCCAGACTGTTCTTTAGACCTCAAGGCCTGGTCTGAAGGTCCCCAGACTTTTCTTTAGACCTCAAGGCCTGGTCTGAAGGTCCCCAGACTGTTCTTTAGACCTCAAGGCCTGGTCTGAAGGTCCCCAGACTGTTCTTTAGACCTCAAGGCCTGGTCTGAAGGTCCACAGAATGTTCTTTAGACCTCAAGGCCTGGTTTGAAGGTCCACAGACTGTTCTTTAGAGCTCAAGGCCTGGTCTGAAGGTCCACAGACTGTTCCTTAGACCTCAGGGCCTGGTCTGAAGGTCCACAGACTGTTCCTTAGACCTCAAGGCCTGGTCTGAAGGTCTACAGACTGTTCCTTAGACCTCAGGGCCTGGTCTAAAGGTCTACAGACTGTTCCTTAGACCTCAAGGCCTGGTCTGAAGGTCCACAGACATTTTTTTAGACCTCAGGGTCTGGTCTGAAAATCCTAATGACTCTACAAAAGGCTTCCCTGAAAATGGAGCAATGAAAAGTATCAAACATAAAGTCAAACATCTTTGTAGTAACAAAATCTAACAGTTTATAACCTTCAGATCTCTCAAGCTAAGCAGGGCAGGGCCTGGTAAGTGCTGTGATGGGAGACCTCTGGGAACACTAGTTGCCACAGTGGGGCGGCTGCGGCTGTAAAGTGCCAAACTGTGGTTGTGTCCTTAGGCAAGACACTTCACCCACATTAGAATGAGTCTGGTGTGTGTGTGCTGTCAGTGTGCCCTAGGGCAGCTGTGTTTGGAGTGAAAGAATAAGGACATGTGAAGAGACTTTTAGAGTCCTTAAATAGAGTATGAACCTGATGCATTGTTATTATTATTATTAAAGACCGTCCATGAATGTTTCTCTGATGGTACCACTGATGGTCTCTCTGATGGTCACTCTCTGACTCTGATGGTCCCTCTGATGGTCCCTCTGATAGTACCTCTGATGGTACCTCTGATGGTGCCTCTGATGGTACCTCTGATGCTGCCTCTGATGGTCCCTCTGATGGTCCCTCTGATGGTCCCTCTATGGTACCTCTGATGGTGCCTCTAATGGTACTTCTGATGCCGCCTCTGATGGTACTTCTGATGGTTCCTCTGATAGTTCCTCTGATGGTACCTCTGATGGTCCCTCTGATGGTCCCTCTTATAGTACCTCTGATGGTGCCTCTGATGGTACCTCTGATGCTGCCTCTGATGGTCCCTCTGATGGGCCCTCTCTGATGGTCCCTCTGATAGTACCTCTGATGCTGCCTCCTCTGATGGTCCCTCTGATAGTACCTCTGATGGTACCTCTGATGGTGCCTCTGATGGTACCTCTGATGGTGCCTCTGATGGTACCTCTGATGGTGCCTCTGATGGTCCCTCTGATGGTACCTCTGATGGTCCCTCTGATGGTCCTTCTCTGGTACAGTCTGCAGAGCTGTGGTCCTGGTCCTCTTCCTGCTGCTGCTGTCTGCTCTGTACCTGCTGCCTCTGGGTCTGTACTCCCCCTGTATCCAGGACAGGAGCCGCCTGGGACCCCCCCCAGCCCTCATCGGACACAGAGGAGCCCCCATGGTGACACACACACACACACACACACACACACACACACACACACACATACACAGACACACATACCACATCACAACAGTTACTTTACAGTCGTTACTTTACAGTCGTTACTTTGCAGTCGTTACAGTCGTTACTTTACAGTCATAACTACAGTATTCGGCCCCCTTGAACCTTTCAACATGTCGCCACATTTCAGGCTTCAAACATAAAGATATAAAATTTAAATTTTTTGTCATGAATCAACAACAAGTGGGACACAATCGTGAAGTGGAACGAAATTTATTGGATAATTTAAACTTTTTTAACAAATAAAAAACTGAAAAGTGGGGCGTGCAATATTATTCGGCCCCTTTACTTTCAGTGCAGCAAACTCACTCCAGAAGTTCAGTGAGGATCTTTGAATGATCCAATGTTGTCCTAAATGACTGATGATGATAAATAGAATGCACCTGTATGTAATCAAGTCTCCGTATAAATGCACCTGCTCTTTGATAGTCTCAGGGTTCTGTTTAAAGCGCAGAGAGAACCATGAAGACAAAGGAACACACCAGGCAGGTTCGAGATACTGTTGTGGAGAAGTTTAAAGCCGGATTTGGATACAAAAAGATTTCCCAAGCTTTAAAAATCTCAAGGAGCACTGTGCAAGCAATTATATTGAAATGGAAGGAGTATCAGACCACTGCAAATCTACCAAGACCCGGCTGTCCCTCCAAACTTTCATCTAAAACAAGGAGAAGACTGATCAGAGATGCAGCCAAGAGGCCCATGATCACTCTGGATGAACTGCAGATAAGTACAGCTGAGGTGGGAGAGTCTGTCCATAGGACAACAATCAGTCGTGCACTGCACAAATCTGGCAAGAAGAAAGCCATTTCTCAAAGATATCCATAAAAAGTCTTGTTTAAAGTTTGCCACAAGCCACCTGGGAGACACACCAAACATGTGGAAGAAGGTGCTCTGGTCAGATGAAACCAAAATCGAACTTTTTGGCCACAAGTCAAAACGATGTTTGGCGTAAAAGCAACACAGCTCATCACCCTGAACACACCATCCCCACTGTCAAACATGGTGGTAGCAGCATCATGGTTTGGGCCTGCTTTTCTTCAGCAGGGACAGGTAAGATGGCTAAAATTGATGGGAAGATGGATGGAGCCAAATACAGGACCATTCTGGAAGAAAACCTGTTGGAGTCTGCAAAAGACCTGAGACTGGGACGGAGATTTATCTTCCAACAGGACAATGATCCAAAACATAAAGCCAAATCTACAATGGAATGGTTCACAAATAGACGTATCCAGGTGTTAGAATGGCCAAGTCAAAGTCCAGAACTGAATCCAATCGAGAATCTGTGGAAAGAGCTGAAGACTGCTGTTCACAAACGCTCTCCATCCAACCTCACTGAGCTGGAGCTGTTTTGCAAGGAAGCATGGGCAAGAATTCCAGTCTCTCGATGTGTAAAACTGATAGAGACATACCCCAAGCGACTTGCAGCTGTAATTGCAGCAAAAGGTGGCGCTACAAAGTATTAGCGCAAGGGGGCCGAATAATATTGCACGCCCCACTTTTCAGTTTTTTATTTGCTAAAAAAGTTTAAATTATCCAATAAATATTGTTCCACTTCACGATTGTGTCCCACTTGTTGTTGATTCTTGACAAAACATTTCATTTTTATATCTTTATGTTTGAAGCCTGAAATGTGGCGAAATGTTGAAAGGTTCAAGGGGGGCGAATACTTTTGCAAGCCACTGTATACAGTCATTACTTTAAATTCGTTACTTTACTGTCATTACAGTCGTTACTTTACAGTCGTTACATTACAGTAGTTTCTTTACAGTCGTTACATTACAGTAGTTTCTTTACAGTCGTTAACTTGCAGTCATTACAGTCGTTACAGTCGTTACTTGACAGTCGTTACAGTCGTAACTTTACAGTCGCTACAGTCGTGACTTTAGAGTCGTGACTTTACAGTCGTGACTTTGCAGTCGTTACTTTACAGTCGTTACTTTACAGTCGTAACCTCACAGTTGTAACTTTACAGCCGTTACTTTAAAGTCGTAACATTACCGTCATAACTTTACAGTCTTTACTTTACAGTCGTTACAGTTGTTACTTTACAGTCGTTATTTACAGTCGTTACTTTATAGTCATGACTTTACAGTCGTAACTTTGCAGTCGTTACTTTACAGTCGTTAATTTACAGTGGTTAATTTACAGTTTTGATTTTACAGTTGTTTGTTAGTCGTTACTTTATAGTTGTTACTTTACAGTCGTTACTTTACAGTTTTGACTTTACAGTTCTTTCGTTACAGTCGTTACTTTATAGTCGTTACTTTACAGTCGTTACTTTACAGTCGTTACTTTACAGTTGTTACTTTATAGTTGTTACTTTACAGCCGTTACTTTACAGTCGTTACTTTACAGTCGTTACTTTACAGTCGTTAATTTATAGTTGTTACTTTACAGTCGTTACTTTACAGTCGTTAATTTATAGTTGTTACTTTACAGTCGTTACTTTACAGTCTTTACAGTCGTTACTTTACAGTCTTTACAGTCGTTACGTTACAGTCTTTACTTTACAGTGTGTTTTTTTCCACACCTTGAAATGACCGAGAAAATGTTTTCTAAATAAAACTTTAACTTTAATACAGAAATGGCCCCAAATAATAATGTAACATTAGCTCCTGAACTAGAGTCATGTTTCCCATGATGCTTTGCTGCAGCTGGCTCCAGAGAACACACTCATGTCATTCCAGAAGGCGGTGGAGAGCGGCTGCGTTGGACTAGAGACCGACGTCACCATCAGGTCATACCATCAGCTCATACCTTCAGCTCATACCATCAGCTCATACCATCAGGTCATACCATGAGCTCATACCATCAGCTCATACCATCAGGGCACACCATCAGCTCATACAGTAGGTCCCATTTCGTTTTGTCGTCTTCACTCACGCTTTTCATGAATCACGCAGCTGCGTGAAACATATTACATCTTATCGCCACAAGGTGGCAGGTTAAGTCCGCTTTAGCTCTACCAGCGACTTAAACGCTCAGGTATAACACTGCGTGCAAACTTGATTAGCCTAGTGATACTATGTTGGCTGAATGGTTAGCGTTGCAGATTAAGACATGGGGGATCCGGGTTCGATTCTTGTCTGAGGCAATTTTGGTTGCACACCTTTTGGTTGCTTGTGTGCAATTACGTAACGTTATCAGCTTGTTATCTTCTTTCCTTGTCAAAAGGAAATGTCATGTTGTAAAATTGGCATTTTTATTCTTGCAGTTTGGTTGGTGCTGATTGTGGAGTTGAATTCCAATTGTATTTAAAGTTTACATGTTTATCAAGCTCCACGTGCACCGGTCTGCGCTACACTCACCTGAGAGAGAGAGAGAGAGAGACAGAGAGACAGAGAGAGAGAGAGAGGTGTTGTAAAACTTGCAACCTTAGCTCGTGTGCGAAGGACAAACCTGCTGTTTACACAAAACTAAGAACTCTACAGACTAAGACTCATCCATGAATATAATCAGCGCATCTCTAGCTTTAAGTCATTTTTTATTTGAGAACAATCCGACTCATATGTTCAGTTTTATTGTTAGATAGAGTGACGCTGGGTTTGTGGAGTGAAAAGTAAACAATGCATCACACGCACGGGGCGGTGTTACGTCGCCTTTTGTTGGCCTTTTCCTCATGTGTATGAGCTCATTGCAAAAGCAGTACAAGAGAAGTCCTGCTAAAGTTTGGACTTAAGTGATGTCTGCAGTCTGAATCCCTCTCTCAGTGTGAGTTGTGTGTTTTACAATAGCGACCGTTTGACAAACAAGACTGTGCCACAACCCCCATCCCCCACCCCCACCCAGTGACGTGCTGTGAGGTTTGTTGCTCACTTCGGGCCTATCAAAACGCGGTTTAAAGTCAAAGGATTGACTCTGTAAAACACTGTACTAACTTACTGCACTGTATTGTAAGTACTGTAACAATACAATTGTATTTTACTTTATTACTTATTTTTTAATAAAAACACTTCTTCTCAAAAGTTCCTTTCTGACTTCTTCTACAGTATGGGATAGCCAGCAGCAAGTGCGTTATTGAACGTGAACGTATATGAATCAGATTACTCCGTTACTGAATAAAGTTGCATTTTTTTCCTGCAGTTTGGTTGGTGCAGATTGTGAAGTTTACAACAGTTTACTACAGTCTAGCAACTATTTTAAATGTGTTGGCCTAATTACTAAGTATTTTTTATTTAACACTGGAGAAAACGTGCTCGGTTTTTGCTCGCCTGAGTGATAGGCTATTAAAAATGTCTTGTCCTAAATAAAGGACGCACAGGCTCCTTTCACTTTATGACAGATAGTAAAGAAATTGCAACTCGATCAAATTTCGGCGCGGTTCATGCTAAACGCCCCACCAACACCTCTTAACTCTCACCTGAACCGAGCACATTTTCTATACTGAAAATGTCAAAGTAATCAAACACCGCCTTTGTGGCCAAAAATTACGCATTTGCGGGTGCACGCACGTTTATTATGTATGTTATGTTGTCTAATCGCCCCAAAAATGTTGTGCTTTATTTTCATAATAACATACTTAGTAATCGTTACAACACCGTTATCGTTACTGGGTAAATAAAGTGGCACGTTACAATTTGACTGAATGAGCGCCGCGGTGTCACGTGAGATGGTTTTGGGCAAAGGCAGTGACAGGTTTCACACTCAGACACTGGAGCTGTGGCTTTATTTTTGCTGCTTTTGTCAGTCATTCAGATCATCAGACCGCTCAACTATATCATTAACTGTGTTCGAGATAGATAGATAGCCTCTATGTTGCAGAGACAACATATACATATTTTGTACTAATGTTAATCTTTATAATTAAATTACATTAACGTATATATTTAAAATAATTATGTATTGTCTATATAGAATTCTATGCCAATTCGAAAATAAAGACATTCTGAAAGCGATCTGCCTCTCGTGATCTTTTAGTGAGGTCTTCTCCTTGTATTTACTGTTTGGCTGAGCAAAGTTTTAATAGTATTGGTTAAAATAAATCAAACACTCTGGACGGCGTGATGTAAATAAGAGAGAGAGACGCTGACGCATTTTGGGTCAGTGCGCTGGTGTGCAATCAATGGAATACATCACAATACTCATCAAACAAGATCCATTCAGTTTTATCATTGGAGGAAATGTTTATTAAATTAGCAATTGGCACCTTGACAAAACACTGGATATAGAAATCCTAACAATAGTAGGCTAATAGTAGGCTAACGTGGACATCCCTTGGCCCGTGGGGATATCACATGCCAGTTGCCTCTCCCTTCAACGCTATGACCTGGTCGATGACTTTGTCCAGGTGGTCTATATATTTATTGCAGACCTGGGTTGTGAGTTTGTTTAGCCAAAAAAACTCTATTGCGGAGATCAGTGCGTCCTTGCTCATCGGTTTGGCCTCACAGCGAATGTATCTTTTCATGGACGCCCACACTAACTCAATGGGGTTCAGATCCGGCGACCTTAAACAAAAACACATGGACATGTCAGCACTGTTAGCCTATTTTCCGATACAGCATGTATTCATCCAGAATATATATATATATATATATATATATATATATATATATATATATATATATATATATATATATACAAATTAGGAGGACAACTTAATCATTAAACAAACATTAGTAGCCTAATCATCACAACGTTGCTTTTGTCATAATCATGCTGAAGATTTGGAATACAGATTGTTAGCCTACCTTGGAAGAATCTATGTGTAGACATACGAAAATGCTCCCTTAAGTATGGACCAGCAGCTTTTTTGATGATTTCTTCCGCGTAGAAGTGTTGATCCATTATACCTGTGGGTTTAAATAATATGTTAGCATATTGTAACAATTTATTTAGCATAGCCTACTTTGCATGCATTGCTTTCAAAACTTCATCACTCACCGTCAAAAATGACCAGCGGACCAGGTCCCCATCGAGAAATTCCACCCCAAACATGCATTTTGACCGGGTGCTTCACTCTTGGTTTTGCAATGCCCCTGAAGTTGGTCTTTTTCCTTTTGCACTTCAAGGCAAAACGTTCCAGTGCCACAGTTGACTCGTCAGTGAAGAGAACATAATCAAACTTTTCACCAGCAGCCTTCCATTCTTGACCTTGGATTACACGCAAGTCTTTGTTTTTTCCTCGGGTCATTGGAACGAATCTGTAAGCAGAATTTATCAAAATGTTACTATAAGAATGACATGTTGAGTGCCCGGTTATCACGATAAGTAATTAATAAAGAGACGCGTGTTACCTGGGCTTTCCAAAGTTCCAGCCAAGATTCCGGACTGCCTTTCGTACCGTAACCCAATCGTTATGTTGTGCCTGCTTTGGAGAAGCTCTTTTACTTTTCTTGCTGATAGTTCAACGTCTGTTCTCAGGATGGAGTCTATTATTTCCATCACCTGACTGAAAGAGACACATTGTTTCAGTACATAGTTTGGAAAAGCCTGTTGTTATTTTGTTCACATGTGAAACTTACAAACTTGAGTATATATTTAAATAATAAAAAGTACATTTACCTTGTCACTTTACGTGGCTTGCGTTCCTTCTTCTTCTCCACAACAGCACATCGGCAATGACGCTGGATAGTTTGCAGGGAAGCTCTTATTCCAGTTGTGGCCATGTGTTTGGCGATAGTGCTAGTCGTCCAGCCTTTCTTACGCAGGGTCCTGATGAGCTCACTGACTTGTGCGTTGATCACAGCCATCGCTGACATCTACTGTAAATAGGCCATCGGTTGAACACCTATTTATCTTGGGGAGTGGGCTTGGATTTTTACACACACACCCTCCCTCCCCCTGCCGCCCACTCCCGGTGTTTTTTTCCCGGTCCCGTCCCAATCACGAGATCAGATGTTTTGCATATGTGAAAATAAACTGGATTTTTGACATTCCTGTGGACTCGAGCCCTGGTCAATCTAGTTCAATACAGTTCAGTTCCTACGCAGCTTTAACTTGTGCGCTTGCCTTACCCAAACATCCAGTAGATCGAACCAGCCTCAATCATACGAACATTAAAAGGAACCTTATGTCCTTCGTATTATCTCCGCTTTAACAAAAGCTTAAAGTAGTACTAGAATTTAATATGCTGCTATCCAGAATATATAACTACAATATGTGTTTATAATATTTCGGGTGTTCATTTTGATATGTTCAGATGAATTATGTTAAAAAAACAGCTTTGAAGTCGGACCTTTTCACAAACGCTAGGGGGAGCCAAAATGGCGGCGATGACGCAGGGGAAGGGTATCTCACAGCAGCAGCAGTCTTAGCTGGAATCTGTAGGAGGTTTCACTGTCATCTGAACAAGGTATAAACATATTTTCATCCGTTTTGTACATAATAGTGTGCAACTCTTTTAACCTTTTAGCCTTATTTTTGAGATTCAAGCAAACTAGTGTTGGGCAAGTTAGCCAACTCTACTTGATATCATAAAAACATGCTAACAAGGCTAATATTCGTTTTTACATTATGCCAGTCCCACTTTGGTTGCCTTAGATTTATTTACCACAATTTACATTGTGATATCCATAAATGCTAATCAAAATAACTTTAATTAAATAAATATTTTACTTTTATGAACAAAAATCTGCAGAAGTTGAAAACATAGACTACATGTGATGCAATCATTGATAAAAATGCTAATTAAACCGTTAATAGGTGTTAGCATTTTTTAATATTACAATGTACATTGTGGTAAATAAATCTAAGGCAACCAAAGTCAGACTGGCATAATGTGAAAACGAATATTAGCCTTGTTAGCATGTTTTATGATATCAAGTAGAGTTAGCTAACTTGCCCAACACTAATTAGCTTGAATCTCACAAATAAGGCTAAAAGGTTAAAAGAGTTGTGCACTATTATGTACAAAACGGATGAAAATATGTTTATACCTTGTCCAGATGACAGTGAAACCTCCTACAAAAAAAAAAAAAAGGCGCGTGAAAGGCGACAAAACGAAATGGGACCTACTGTACCATCAGGTCATACCATCAGCTCACACCATTAGCTCACACCATCAATTCATACCATCAGGTCATACCATCATGTCATACCATTAGCTCATACCATCAGGTCATACCATCAGCTCATACCATCAGGTCATACCATCAGGTCAGCCCTGGACTCTGGACTGTTGGACCCTGGACTATTGGACTCTGGATTGTTGGACTGTTGGACTCTGGACTATTGGACTCTGGATTGTTGGACTGTTGGACTCTGGACTGTTGGACTGTTGGAATCTGGACTGTTGTACTGTTGGAATCTGGACTGTTGTCTCTGGACTGTTGGACTCTGGACTGTTGGACTGTTGAACTGTTGGACTCTGGACTGTTGGACTCTGGACTGTTGGACTGTTGAACTGTTGGACTCTGACTGTTGGACACTGGACTGTTGGACTCTGGACCGTTGGACTGTTGGACTCTGGACTGTTGAACTGTTGGACTCTGGACTGTTGGACTCTGGACTGTTGGACTGTTGAACGTTTGGACTCTGGACTGTTGGACTGGTGAACTGTTGGACTCTGGACTGTTGGACTGTTGGACTCTGGACTGTTGGACTCTGGACTGTTGGACTCTGGACTGCTGGACTGCTGGACTGTTGGACTATTGGACTGTTGGACTCTGGACTGTTGGACTCTGGACTGTTGGACTCTGGACTTTTGAACTGTTGGACTCTGGACTGTTGGACTCTGGACTGTTGGACTCTGGACTGTTGGACTGGTGAACTGTTGGACTCTGGACTGTTGGACTGTTGGATTGTTGGACTGTTGGACTCTGGACTGCTGGACTGTTGGACTATTGGACTGTTGGACTCTGGACTGTTGGACTGTTGGACTCTGGACTGTTGGACGCTGGACTGCTGGACTGTTGGACTATTGGACTGTTGGACTCTGGACTGCTGGACTGTTGGACTATTGGACTGTTGGACTGTTGGACTGTTGGACTCTGGACTGCTGGACTGCTGGACTGTTGGACTATTGGACTATTGGACTGTTGGACTCTGGACTGTTGGACTCTGGACTGTTGGACTCTGGACTGCTGGACTGTTGGACTATTGGACTGCTGGACTCTGGACTGTTGGACTCTGGACTGTTGGACTATTGGACTCTGGACTGTTGGACTGCTGGACTTTTGGACTGCTGGACTCTGGACTGTTGAACTCTGGACTGTTGGACTTTTTCCTCAGAACCTTTTGATCTGATCTGAGTGAAGTTAGAGATGTCTAAAAACAGAACTTTGTACCAAAGACTAAACACCAGCCGACCTTCTGTGGACCATGGTGCCGTTACGACCTACTTCCACATGGTTTGGACTCTCTAAGACCATGTGGGACCTACTTCCACATGGTTTGGACTCTCTCAGACCATGTGGGACCTCCATGGTCTGAGGGTCCAGTTGAACCAGACCTGAGAGACTGGACTGGTCCATGTGTGTAGCTATGATGGGACGCCCTTCCTGATGCATGACCGCTCCCTGCTGAGGACCACTGATGTGCAGCAGGTGTTTCCTCTCAGCAGCAGGAGCCAGGCCTCCATGTTCAACTGGAGCCAACTGCAGCTTCTCAACGCGGGGTCCTGGTTCCTCTCTGTGAGTACACACACATATATATACACACACGTATACACACACATATATACACACGTATATACACACACACACATTTATACACACACATGTATATACGCACACATACACACACATGTATATACACACATATACACAAACACATATATACAGTATATACACATACACACACACATATATATACACAGACACACACACACATATATATACACACACATATTTAATCACAGAAACGTGCACACACACACACAGTGTTTGTTATTTTTATTATTTTTTTTCAAAATATATTTATTTCAGACACTCACCAGACATGTACACACAAGACACACAACACAACATAACGCAATGACAAATCCCACCCACCAGGCAACCTAAAAAAAAAAATACACAAGCCCGCCGACAGATGCATAACTAACAGGCAAGACAAAAAAACAAAATATAAAACTAAAATAAACAACAACAAAAAATAGCAAAAACAAACCAAAATAAAAAACATAGAGACCAAACACACACAAGTCCCCGAGGCCTTCATCCACTTCCACTTCTCTCATTTCCCATTTTCTATTCATTTACTTTTCATCTATTCATCCATCCATTTATTGATCCACTTTTTTTTGGTTGACAGCCTTGCTGTGGAGAAGTCTCATTTTTATTTATTCTCAATCTTTGTTGCATGATTCGGAGACCCACTGCTGATCCGTTTATAGGAGTTCAGACTTATTGACATCAGACCCATTTCAACAGCTTCCATTTTTTTTTCGTGCACAATTATCCTATTTGTGTTTGAAGCTATTATTTTTTCTATTACATATTGTTGTTTCAGTTTATTTTTAAAGTTATTAAATTTTACCCATCAGGATTTGTTGAGCTGCTGTCCAAGATTCCCAACATTATATTCATGGGATTGATGTCAATCTCGATCCCTAATCCACACAACCATCTTTGGACCATCGTGCGAATAATGAAACATATGGGCAAAAATAAAATAGATGCATTAGGTCTTCCTCCTCCTCTTCACAGAATCTACACATTGGGCTTTTAATGATCTTACATAAATTCAGGTGTTTTCTTGTTGCTGTAATTTTATAGAATAGCTTTATTTGGAAAACCCTAGAGTAAGAATCTATGGCAGTTTTGTATATATTTTGGAAAAAATGTTTCCATAAAACAGGACAATTAAATTCATCTTGCCATGCAGTGCAGATTCTGTGAGGGTAGAAGGCTGTTCCAGACATACACACATTATACTTGTACATATGTTTGTTTATCTTGTCCATTCAGAATTTGTTGCATCTCACTCGTGGCATACATACTAATAATTTGTCCTTATCTTTCAGTGTTCTTTTCCATTTCAATGGGATTGCTGACAGCAGCTGATTGTACTTGTATGGGTCCAAACAATATCCATAGTTTGTACAAAAATTAGAATAAGACAAAAAGGTTCCGGATGTGTCCATTAGATCATTGATAAACATAACTCCATTATTCAAACATGATTCCCATAGAAAAGGTCGCCCTTCGATTAGAACATTAGAATTCATCCAAAGCAATTGATTTTGAATCTCCTGAAAACCGTCTGGAGGATGATATTGAAAGCTCAGCCATGCCTTGAATGCATCTTTAAAGAATGTGGAGATATTTATCAGTTCAAGATTCATTATTTGGTTAATATGATTGGCTTTAATCTGGAAAAATGGAAATAATTTACTCTGAAAAATTGGGTAGGCTTTAGTAGTAAGTAAGTAAGCTTTATTTATATACCGCCTTTCACAGACCAGAGTCACAAAGCGGTTTACAATTGTTATTTTTTGGGCACTTGTCCTCTCACTCCACACAGAGATGGGAGTGGGGTCGCCGAACAGGAGGCGCATGCCAGACCTATTGTACATATTTTTAGTGGTAGGAGAAACCGGAGTACCCGGAGGAAACCTACGCAGACACGGGGAGAACATGCAAACTCCACTCAGAAAGGCCCTGGTCCAGCTGGGATTCGAACCCAGGACCTTCTTGCTGAGAGGCGAGAGTGCTATCCACTCAGCCACCGTGCCGCCCTTTAGTTAGCATTTGACTAGCTATCCAATTAGGGTTGTTATACAATTTATGAATCCAGGAGGCTTTCAGAGATTCATTCATGATTTCTAGATTTTTTAAATTTAATCCACCATTTTCAGGCGAGTTGTACATATATTGTCTTTTCATTTTGTCTGGCTTATTATTCCATATAAATAAAAATAAAAAATGTTCAAAACATTTAAAGAATGATCTGTCCGGTGAGGGAAGTGTTAATAATAAATATACCATCTGAGGGATTACAAGACAATTTATTAATGTTACTTTTCCCATCATCGTTAAATGTGTTCCCCTCCATGCCAGTAACAGACTATCAACCTTTTTCATTCTTTTATCAAAGTTACGCCTTTTGGTTTCTTCAGTTTTACTACAAATATGAATTCCTAGAATCTTTACATCGCTGTTAGTCCATTTGATCTCAAAATTTGAACCTGAAATGTTTCCTAATCTCATACAGTGCCTTGCGAAAGTATTTGGCCCCCTTGAAGCTTTCAACATTTCGCCACATTTCAGGCTTCAAACATAAAGATATACAATTTTATTTTTTTTGCCATGAATCAACAACAAGTGGGACACAATCGTGAAGTGGAACGAAATGTATTGGATAATTTAAACCTTTTTAACAAATAAAAAACTGAAAAGTGGGGCGTGCAATATTATTTGGCCCCTTTACTTTCAGTGCAGCAAACTCACTCCAGAAGTTCAGTGAGGATCTTTGAATGATCCAATGTTGTCCTAAATGACTGATGATGATAAATAGAATGCACCTGTGTGTAATCAAGTCTCCGTATAAATGCACCTGCTCTTTGATAGTCTCAGGGTTCGGTTTAAAGCGCAGAGAGAACCATGAAGACAAAGGAACACACCAGGCAGGTCCGAGATACTGTTGTGGAGAAGTTTAAAGCCGGATTTGGATACAAAAAGATTTCCCAAGCTTTAAACATCTCAAGGAGCACTGTGCAAGCAATTATATTGAAATGGAAGGAGTATCAGACCACTGCAAATCTACCAAGACCCGGCCGTCCCTCCAAACGTTCTTCTCAAACAAGGAGAAGACTGATCAGAGATGCAGACAAGAGGCCCATGATCACTCTGGATGAACTGCAAATAACTACATCTGAGGTGGGAGAGTCTGTCCATAGGACAACAGTCAGTCAAAGCCATTTCTCAAAGATATCCATAAGAGTCTCGTTTAAAGTTTGCCACAAGCCACCTGGGAGACACACCAAACATGTGGAAGAAGGTGCTCTGGTCAGATGAAACCAAAATTGAACTTTTTGGCCACAAAGCAACACAGCTCATCACCCTGAACACACCATCCCCACTGTCAAACATGGTGGTGGCAGCATCATGGTTTGGGCCTGCTTTTCTTCAGCAGGGACAGGGAAGATGGCTAAAATTGATGGGAAGATGGATGGAGCCAAATACAGGACCATTCTGGAAGAAAACCTATTGGAGTCTGCAAAATAAGATTTATCTTCCAACAGGGCAATGATCCAAAACATAAAGCCAAATCTACAATGGAATGGTTCACAAATAGACGTATCCAGGTGTTAGAATGGCCAAGTCAAAGTCCAAACCTGAATCCAATCGAGAATCTGTGGAAAGACTGAAGACTGCTGAAGACTGCTGTTCACAAACGCTCTCCATCCAACCTCACTGAGCTCGAGCTGTTTTGCAAGGAAGAATGGGCAAGAATTCCAGTCTCTCGATGTGCAAAACTGATAGAGACATACCCCAAGCGACTTGCAGCTGTAATTGCAGCAAAAGGTGGCGCTACAGAGTTTTAGCGCAAGGGGGCCGAATAATATTCCACTTTTCAGTTTTTTATTTGTTAAAAAAGTTTGAATTATCCAATCAATTTCGTTCCACTTCATGATTGTGTCCCACTTGTTGTTCATTCTTGACAAAAACTACTTTTTTTATATCTTTATGTTTGAAGCCTGAAATGTGGCGAAATGTTGAAAGGTTCAAGGGGGCCGAATACTTTCGCAAGGCACTGTAATTGCACACTTTCCAAAGTTTGGTTTTAGGCCAGACATATTTACAAATAATTGTAATTCTTTTATCAGTTCGTTTAGTGATTGTTCCTCAGGTTTTAAAAAGAAGGTAGCATCGTCTGCATACATTGTTAGTTTGATTTCTGTTATTTAGTTGCAAACCTTTAATTGAAGTATTATTTCTAACTCTGATGGCCAATATTTCCATACACAGAATAAATAAGTACGGAGACAGGGGGCATCCTTGTCGCACACTTCTGGATAAAATGAAACTGTCTGATAAATACCCATTATTAACTATTTTACTAGTTGGTTGGTTATATAGTGTTTGCACACATCTTAAAATATTATTTCCAAAATTAAAAAATGTTAATGTACTGTACATAAACTTCCAACTTATTTTATCAAATGCTTTCTCAAGATCCGAAATAAATAAAATTCCAGATTTTTTATGTTTTTCGTAATCTTCAATTATGTCAATAACTTGTCTAATATTTTCCCCTATAAACCTTCCTTTAATAAATCCTACTTGCTCATGTTTTATAATATTTCCAATTACTTTTTTCATACGTTGAGCTATACATTTGGTGAGTATTCTTGTGTCACAACAAAGTAGTGTTAGGGGTCTCCAATTTTCTATTAGTGTAAGGTCTTTGTATTGGCCATCGGAGTTTTGCTTCAACAGCAGTGATATCAAACCTTCTTTTTGTGACGTTGGCAATTCACCTTTTGTAAAAGAGTATTGGTAAGATGCAAGGAGATGTTTTTTTATTTCCTTAAAAAACACAAAGTAAACTTCTATGGGAATTCCATCTAACCCTGTGGCTTTCCCAGGGGAAAATGATTTAATAGCATCATATAACTCATCCTCTGTTAGCTCCCCTTCACAACTTTGTTTCTGTTTTAATGTTAGTTAGTTTTGGATCAGGGAAAAAATGACAAATACCAGATAACTGACCATTTTCGTGAGAAAATAGTGTTTTAAAATAGTGTTTTAAAATAGTTCACTCCCTCGTTTAAAATTTCTTTGGGATTTGATATAGTTCCATTTGATGTTGACAAGTTGACAATGTTTTTTTTGGTAACATTTCTTTCCTGTAATCTTAAGAAATGTGCAGTACATTTTTCCCCATGTTCCATCCATGTCGCTCGTGATCTAGTAATGAGTCCAGCTACACGCTCATAGTAGAGATTTTCTAACTCATCCTGTTTTTGTTTGATTGTGATAGAGAGCTCGGCTGCAGAATATTGTTCACTATCAAGTTTTTCATTCAGCTCCTTAAGTTCCTGCATTAATTGTTTTTCTTTGTCTAAAGCCTCTTTTTTTTTTAATGGAAGAATTTTTTATGCAGTGCCCTCTGAAAGCACATTTAAAAGCTTCCCAGACCATATGAGGACTAGCTGTATTTTCATTCATTTGAAAAAACTCATCAATAAATGTCTTTGTTTTGTTGATAAAATGCTCATCCTTTAACAATGATGAATTGAATTTCCAGAAACCTTTTCCTCTTGGATATTCAGCAATTATTATTTTAAGTGAAACCAGCGAATGATCTGATCTTAATTTGTCACCGATATAACATTGAATAATTTTAGAGACCAAGGAAAAGGAAAGTAAGAAATAATCTAGCCGACTGGCCTGCTGCCCTCTGCGCCAGGTGTACCGTATAGAATCTGGGTGCCGAAGCCTCCATATGTCGACTAAATCAAGAGAGGCTTTCAGCTCCTCTATTTCATTCAGGGCTTGTGGGTGGTTATTAACTGTATGTGTACCGGCTCGATCTTTTTTTACATCTAAAACAGTATTAAAGTCTCCAGTTAATATTATTTCCGATTTATCTGTAAGGTTAATGTGATTGAGCATATTACCAAAAAAATCTGGATTGTCATCATTAGGGGCATATATATTGATTAACTTAATGATCAGGTTTTCAATTGTTATATCTGTAACTAACCATCTTCCATCTAAATCAGCCTGAACTTCATGTACTGTGTGAACTAGATCCTTCTTGAACATAATCATCACCCCTCTGCTGTTGCTAACCCCATGACTGAAGTAAATATCACCCTCCCATTCGGATTTCCATTGAGTTTCATTCTCCGGTGTTGAATGAGTTTCCTGTAAACAAAACATTTTGACATCTGGCTTATCTTTGAACCAAGCAAATATTTTGTTTCTTTTTGTGGAATTTGCCAACCCATTGCAATTATATGTTAAAATTTCTATACTACATTCCCTGAAGAAGTCCCCAGGTTGAGGACGAAACGTCGGGAAAACTTGCTAAGAAGTACAGATGATGGGTGAGAAACCTTCCTTTGCTTTGACTAATCCCTGTACGACTGAGGGCTTACACAAACCTATACTACATTCCATTAAACATTATTGTAATAATGTTTAATGGAGGCACGATATACTTGTAATCATCTTCAAGGACTTGTATGATTTTGTAATATTTTATCCCCGAGTCCTCATCCTCAACTTCAGAGGAATCGCTACCAGGAGTATGTGTGTACATATTGATACTGTTGTTTTTTCTCAGAGACATGAACAAGGGATGGGGGCGCTTGATCAGGGACCGTGGGCCAGACATACACAGAGACATGCATACAACAAACTGAACAATTGTGCAAACACATAAACAATCTCTCACACCCATAACAAAAAACATGCACACGCACTCACATAGGAAATGTGAGCAAATATGGGAGGAACAACTAACTGAAATAAAAAGGAAAATAATTAAGGAGGATGCTTAAGGCACAACTACTCCACTCCTTATCTGTCTTCTGCACACAGCAGATAAGACAACTGAAACTTTTCTGTCAATATAGAAACAAGATACTGTGTTAATTATTATTGATGTATTTTAATTTGTGTATAATAGTTATTATTATTATTATTATTGTCGTCATAGTTTATTATTATATGTATGTATTATCACCACTATAATTATTTGTCATCATCACTATTATTAACAATATCATCATCATTATTTGATTAGTTATTTCTTAAAAAAGGGTAAAGAACGGGGTAAAAAACTTACCAGGAAAAAACAAAATAGAGAACATGACGATGAAAAAATAAAATAAGAATGAGAATGATTGCTGTGGGATAACAAATTAGACGTACTATGACGTCATCAGAGCGCGCAATGTTTACGTTCGCTTAGGCGATACGTTCTGGCTCGGATACTGGTCTTCCCCCTCCTCCAGACAGCCAATAAGTAATTTTGGAGTTTCGATACAGTGATCCATCAATGATAAGTTTATCCACCATAAGCCGTACTCTTTTGTTGTTTTTCTTTGCTTCCGCCATGACCGGGTAAAGCAATCGTCTCCTCTTCATAATCTCTTGTGGGAACTGATCGGTCATGGAAAAAGTGGATCCCTTCAGCTCTTGACCTCTTGCCATAATGGTGGATTTATCCTTTGGTGCCACGAGTTTGGTCACGATGGGTCGTGGCCTTTCGCTGGCTCCTCTCGGCTTACCCACGCGGTGCGCCCTGGCGACTTGGATATCCTGCACCACTCGCTGATCCATATTTAATTGTTCTTTCATGAATTTCTTGACCAGTTGTTCTGATATTTGGTAAGTCTCTTTATTTTCTTCTGGAATCCCGTGTAAAATTATATTGTCTCGCATACTGCGACATTGTATATCCAGAATGTTCTCTGCAAATGTTGTATTGTCATTTTGAAATTTTGTGGTCAGCTGTTTGAGGCAGTTAACTTCCAGTCTTAGCGACGCGTTATCCTCTTTGAGAGTATCAACCAGTGCCATATAAAAGTCCAAGGAATGTTGCATGTCTGTCTTGTCCTTTGCGAGCTGGTCTAGCATATCCAGTTTTTGTAGTTTACTGTTCACAACACTCAAGGACTCTTTAATACTTTTCAACTCTGCAGCGAGTGAGATTTCCTCTTCTGCAGAGCTAAGCTCCGACCGGCCACGCTTGCTCTCTGGTTTATTGGGCATTCTGTCGTAGAAGTGGTCAATATAGCTCTGCAAGCTTTCTATTGACTCTTCCTCCGGTGATTCCAGTTTCTTGTCTGTAGTGTGCAGTTGCTGATTAAGTAGAATTTACGTATTTTTGGGAGATTGTTGGCCTCTATGGCGTGTCAGTGTCCCATCATAGCTCCGCCCTTACTTCTGAGTAAATTACTTGTTATTTATTTACCTGTGTTCTTGGTCTGTGCCATCTTTGTAGATCACTCGTACATGCCAGGGCAGGAGGAACAGCTGGAGCTGGGAGTAGTGTGCAGTCTGATAAAGAAGTGCAACTACATGGTTGCAAAAACCTTTACCTGCTGCACAACTACAAGAATGAGCCAACAGCTCAGCCTTTTCAGCACCCAGTGAGATCTAAAGCAGAGAAGTAGTTTTAGAACTGACAGTTATCACTTGTTATAACTTATCTTATAAAGACAGAGATTGTAGTTTAGATTTGCTGCAACAGCAGCAGAAGAGAAATAGTAAGCACCAAACAGAAAGATGCGAGTATAGGCTCTCAGTTTTACTGGAACTGTCCATCCTATGTGAACGTTCTTCAGCTGTCATCTGTCAGCGACTCAAGAACTCAAAGCTGAACAAGCCAACCGGCTTTCTGACTTTCAAACCTGCAGTCTGTGCGGCTCCTCATTTCTCCTCATGGACCTGAAGCATTTAGCTCTGACCACTACCTTTCCCTGACAATATTTGATACTATAAGTATGCAGAAAATATGCACAATTGAATGATTAAGGTACATGTAGCATCATCATGTAAAAACTAACATTTAGCATGTTTGCTTTCATTAATAAGACATGAAAAACACATATCATAATGTTCTAATATAATTGGAAATTCTATACCATGTCTCCATTCAAATTTCGAATAATTTAGCACACAAATTAGGCGTCTGTATTACATATTTATGTGCTTCAAGTGTCGTAGCTAGCGTAGCTGTAAGTTGATAAGTCTTACCTTGATAGTCGTGTAAATATTCTTCATGAAAGAATTTATAGCCCTTATCCCGTTTATCTGTTTTTGAATTTGCTGCTGCAATTGCTTCCGCAGCAGCGAACGAAAAAGCTGGCAAACAGTAGTGTTGGTGAAAATATTAGAGCCATTTCTCTATCATAGACTGTATATATTAAATTCTCTATACAAACGGTGCAAACCGGAAGTGACTCAGCGCGGCGAGGTGGCACTTCCGGTTGTCGTGAAAAAAGGTCTAGAAGCTTCGTTTGTGGAGGGGACGTGATCCGCAGCTTTGGAAACACTTTGATCTTTGTGCTTCATAAAGTCAGCAGCTGATTGGAGCAGAGGGAACATCTGCATGATCCCCGTGTAGAGCTCCTTCTACCACCGCAGCTGCTCCTGCTCCGTGCGATCGGTGAGTGTGTGTTATGCTAGTGCTGTTAGCGTTAGCATTAGCCACAGGCCGCTAGCATCTTTTACTGTCTGTTCAATGGACATTCATTCATCTGTTTACTTTAACCGTAATATCAACACCATGGAGCTATTGCACGATTGCACTTCGCCTCATGTTTTGTCTATTTTCATTTTTTATTCTATAATGTTTAATCCTTTGTTAGATAAAGCATTAGCATTAGCCCCCGACCGGGAACAACACAGTTCAATTCAATGTGTATCGCCCTAAATCACAGCAGCAGTCGTCTCGGAGGACTTTACACAGTTGTGGATTTACCAACAACAGATCAGAGAATCAAACAGTTTGATCACATTAAATACAATAATAACAAACCCGCGGGACAAACACCTAGGTTAGCGGTTCTCAAAGTGCCACAAATACATGTTCATTTGCAAAAGCAGATATCTCAGTTTTTATGAATTGTCAATATATTTTAACCTTATGGTAACACTTAGGTTAGTGTTTCTTTATCATATATATTTTTAATTTTACATAAACATTTGTGCACAAAAGCAGATAAATCCAACCATCGTTTTTTTGTGTGTCAAAAACTGTTAACTCCGCAATGATTGCGTTTACATTAAATTAAGGACATAGATTAAGCCTGTACATCTTTGAATGAACCAATATAATTGATTTTTCTTAAAACAAACTTCAAAATGACTAAAACATTTTAAATGTATTGTCACTTTGTCACTTGTGACAGCACATTCAAGTTATTTGGATACTGTAACACAATATTTAATCACCTTTGAAAACACCAGGTCAAGGCAACATTTAAAAAGTGCAAACTTGTAAACAATCTATGTAGAAGAACAACTTTCATTGGAGCAATTTTAGTGCACTACAAAACAAATGATGCAACATTTAGTGTTTTTAACTCATTATCTCATTATGGCTTATTAAAACTGTGAAACCAGAAAAATAACTATGTAACAGTCCTGTAGATTTTGGTTTGATTTCACCTGCATGTATTTTTGGTTTCTGTCATCTTTAGATCAGGTTCTTCAGTGAAAGAGAAAGGACCATCCTCACTCAAGACAATCAGCTCACAGTCCAAAGGGGAAAATAGCAACTGGCAAGACTATTGGGACAAAACATGTAAAGTAAACCAAAAAAGCAGCTGTAGCTTCATATTAGACTGGGGCTCAGATTGATTCATTCATTTGTCCTCTCAAAGTTTGTGAGTTTCAGGACATTGGCTTTTTTAGCTGCCTTCACACAGTTTACTCTTTGAGCCAGTGCTGGCTTGAAGGTCTCTCACCTTTTCCCACGTTTCAAAAGACTGTGGTAACAGAAATCTCCACCACACAGCGGCTTAAAGCCTATTTTGTCCCCACTGATTTCCAAAACCTTGGCTTCACTTATTTTAAATGAGATGAGGTACAATGTTTTGCAGCAGCAGCTTTAAAGTCACAGCACTGCCAGTGTTGTCCATAAACGTGTACGTTTCCATGTTTTTCCATAATCTTCACATATTCTTCTTAATTTCCTGCTCCAGTCGTCCAAAGACACAGTCAGGGGGCATAAAGCTATGCCCATGTACAGGGAATGTATATTCAATAAATACGTTTTTTAGTGTGTGCTTTTTGAGAGAAAAAAGCATAGCGAGCATGTTTACATTTTTATTTTGCCCATAGCAAGAATCAGAAAATAGTCTGAGTTCTTTATGGTGACTAAGTTCATTACAAGCAACACGACTACGATAATGTTGCAAAGCAGATGCCACCATGTTACTGTCCTTCTTGTTCTCATTTTCTAACCGTGTGTAAAGATGGACGTGTTCTTTTCTCTGACCTGCACCACGATGACGCACAACTCCGAAGTCTGTCCAATGGCAGATTTAGGTTGCACTAGATTGCTCATTCTGACTGTGGAACTATGCATCTTCCTAACGTTCAGATCAACAGGAAGGTACTTTCTTCTCCTCTGCGCGCATAATGACTGGCTCTGCAGGTGAAAGTCTGGATGTGCTCTGATGGCTTCTCTCTGAGCTGCCCTCTCTTCAGACCTCCGTGCTCCTCCACGGCGCTCCGGCATTGGCACCCCATTCTGTTTCCAAAACTTGGCGACCTTTCTTCACACCTGTAATCACAGATTTGTTAAAGTTAGATCAATAATATAGCTACATCTTTGCAAAAGTATGTCACTAAAATGTTAGTTTAATAGATTCATTATTGATCCAGAGGGAAATGCAGTAACTAGCTTCAACTACTGTTAATGATAAAAACAAACACTGCAGAGAACAGTCTGTGTTTGCCCCAGAAATGTAACGTCAAACACTAGTTAATTATAAATCACTGTCAAATGGTATGTTATGACTCCAGATTAAATACACACAAGTGTTTTCTTAAAGGTTTATAGCAATTCCCCATTATGTTAAATATCACGTACACACAAAAGACAAAGCTACACAACTATTAGAAGGAACTCAAAGTACTCACAGAATAGGCTCATGAATGAGGATTTGCAGACTGGGATCCTATCTTGTGCTCTGGTTAAGACAGAATATTTCACCGTCACGTCTCTGGACTTCTGTTGTGCACAGTCTTTTACCTTTGATCTCCTCCGTTTAACTGATACTTTATTGATCCCCCGTAGGAGAAATTCAGGATAAATACTGTGGTGACATTAAGGATGTACCGATCCAGATTTTTTGTAATCCGATCCGATTCCGATATTCTTAAATATTGTTTTGCCGATACCGATCCGATACGATCCAGTTTTGCCTAATATTTTCAAAGCATTAAAGATTTTGCTACCAGTAATACTTTAAAAAAAAAATTTACCTGAATAAATACGTTTGTCGTGTCGGCTAACACACGTTAGCAGCCTTGTTTACAGTCACGGGGAATGAGGCTCGAGGAATATGTTCACAAGCAGTCTCCCCAATAGTTAGTCCTGGTTTATCTCCTGTTTTGTGTCCCCATGACGGCTCTGTGCGGCCGCTCTCTGATCGCCGCACGGAGGAAAAAGTTAATCACATGCTTTCGCCGCCTGCACCAGGTCTCTGTGTCCGCTGCCTCTCCCGCCGCACATGCTGAGCCTCGCACGGACATGCATAACCATTGACAAGGCATTGAAAAACAATCTTTAGATCCATGTACGCTAAGCATGGTGCGGTTGTTGTCTTTGCATTTCCCAGAATGTTTTGCGGTTCACGCTTGGCTGTGATGGGTCGAGAAGCCTCTGCCTACATCCCCCAGAATGCCGCGCGCCTCTGTGTTTTTGTCCTGTTTTTCTAACGGAGTGATGCTAAACGAACATTCTATCAACCCAGTTTTATATTGAGATTGAACACGTGTCTATCGCAATATATCTCGTTGTCGTTTTCTCGCCAAGCCCTAGCCTTACATTGTATTTAGTTTACGGCAGCCGTAAAGCGTGAACATGCTGAAAAGTGACGTAAATCGGCTTCATATTTAACAAATCCAATATTATCCGATCCTTACAAAATACCCATATCGGCCCCCGATACCGATACTGAATATCGGATCGGTACATCCCTAGGTGACATCCATGTATGACCGGTGCGTGGCATCTTGTTTTATTCTTGTATGTATTCAATGTCTTCTGGGGATAAGCTTTTTTGGCTTCCTTGGCTTGGTTTCCTTTTTCTTTTGCGCCCCCGAGGTGACAAAAGAACCGCCTCCTCTGCATCGTCAAAGCCAGCCATGGATTAAGATTGTGTGTGTGTGTGTGTATATAATTATAATGATCTGACATGTCTTTGTTGTGTTTGTTGCAGATCTACAAAGTCCATCTACAGAATGGGGGTCACCTGTGATCAGTGTGGAAAGACCTGCATATCTGCTTCTGCACTAAAGACCCACTACAGAACTCACACTGGAGAAAAACCATACGTGTGTGATCTGTGTGGAACAGGTTTTACTACAAAAGAACATCTCAAGGTCCACAGCAGAATCCACACTGGAGAAAAACCCTTCAGCTGTGACGTTTGTGATCAGAGTTTTAGACATGAGCATCATCTCAAATATCATCAGAGGATCCACACAGGAGAGAAACCATTTGAGTGTGACCAGTGTGGAAAAACCTTCATGAGAAAAGACCACCTCTCACGACATCAGCGTGGTTCACACAGGAGAGAGACCTCGGACTGAAAAGACTCTGCACTGTCAGCCTGGATGTCTCTGGATTGAAACACATACTCTCTCATATTCCCCATATAGGTCCCTTGGTGGTTTGACCTCGCCTTTTTAGGCCTCAGGAATTTGCGTTAGCCCGGGTCCGAGGGTTATCGGCTAAAACCTCCACAGAGACTCCGCTGTTCTGGGGCCTGCATTGCTCTATATCAAGCCGGATTTCAGGGCTTTTTTCGGGGAGAATTCCTCCGCACACTCACGCTGGCTCTCAGGCTCGCCAGTGGTGCATTTAGGACCGTTTTTTCACGCGTTTTTTGGGGATTACACCTCCACAGAGTCTCCGTGGTTCTGGGACCTGCATTGCTCTATATCAAGCCGGATTTCAGGGCTTTTTTCGGGGAGAAATCCTCTGCACACTCACGCTGGCTCTCAGGCTCGCCAGTGGTGCATTTAGGACAGTTTTTTCACGCCTTTTTTTGGGGATTACACCTCCACAGAGACTCCGCTGTTCTGGGGCCTGCATTGCTCTATATCAAGCCGGATTTCAGGGCTTTTTTTGGGGAGAAATCCTCTGCACACTCACGCTGGCTCTCAGGCTCGCCAGTGGTACATTTAGGACCGTTTTTTCACGCGTTTTTCAGGGATTACACCTCCACAGAGACTCCGCTGTTCTGGGGCCTGCATTGCTCTATATCAAGCCGGATTTCAGGGCTTTTTTCGGGGAGAAATCCTCCGCACACTCACGCTGGCTCTCAGGCTCGCCAGTGGTACATTTAGGACCGTTTTTTCACGCGTTTTTCGGGGATTACACCTCCACAGAGACTCCGCTGTTCTGGGGCCTGCATTGCTCAATATCAAGCCGGATTTCAGAGCTTTTTTTGGGGAGAAATCCTCCGCACACTCACGCTGGCTCTCAGGCTCGCCAGTGGTGCATTTAGGACCGTTTTTTCAGGTCTTTTTTCGGGGATTACACCTCCACAGAGACTCCGCTGTTCTGGGGCCTGCATTGCTCTATATCAAGCCGGATTTCAGGGCTTTTTTTGGGGAGAAATCCTCCGCACACTCATGCTGGCTCTCAGGCTCGCCAGTGGTACATTTAGGACCGTTTTTTCACGCGTTTTTCGGGGATTACACCTCCACAGAGACTCCGCTGTTCTGGGGCCTGCATTGCTCAATATCAAGCCGGATTTCAGAGCTTTTTTTGGGGAGAAATCCTCCGCACACTCACGCTGGCTCTCAGGCTCGCCAGTGGTGCATTTAGGACCGTTTTTTCAGGTCTTTTTTCGGGGATTACACCTCCACAGAGACTCCGCTGTTCTGGGGCCTGCATTGCTCTATATCAAGCCGGATTTCAGGGCTTTTCTCGGGGAGAAATCCTCCGCACACTCACGCCTGCTCTAAGGGTCGCCAGTGGTGCATTTATGACCGTTTTTTCACGCCTTTTTTCAGGAATTACACCTCCACAGAGACTCCGCTGTTCTGGGGCCTGCATGGCTCTATATCAAGCCGGATTTCAGGGCCTTTTTTTGGGTTAAATCATCCGCACACTCCCGCTGGCTTTCAGGCTCGCCAGTGGTGCATTTAGAACCGTTTTTTCACGCGTTTTTCGCGGATTACACCTCCACAGAGACTCCGCTGTTCTGGGGCCTGCATTGCTCTATATCAAGCCGGATTTCAGGGCTTTTTTTCGGGGAGAAATCCTCCGCACACTCACGCCTGCTCTAAGGGTCGCCAGTGGTGCATTTATGACCGTTTCACGCCTTTTTTCGGGGATTACACCTCCACAGAGACTCAGCTGTTCTGGGGCCTGCATGGCTCTATATCAAGCCGGATTTCAGGGCCTTTTTTTGGGTTAAATCATCCGCACACTCCCGCTGGCTTTCAGGCTCGCCAGTGGTGCATTTAGAACCGTTTTTTCACGCGTTTTTCGCGGATTACACCTCCACAGAGACTCCGCTGTTCTGGGGCCTGCATTGCTCTATATCAAGCCGGATTTCAGGGCTTTTTTCGGGGAGAAATCCTCCGCACACTCACGCCTGCTCTAAGGGTCGCCAGTGGTGCATTTATGACCGTTTCACGCCTTTTTTCGGGGATTACACCTCCACAGAGACTCAGCTGTTCTGGGGCCTGCATGGCTCTATATCAAGCCGGATTTCAGGGCCTTTTTTTGGGTTAAATCATCCGCACACTCCCGCTGGCTTTCAGGCTCGCCAGTGGTGCATTTAGAACCGTTTTTTCACGCGTTTTTCGCGGATTACACCTCCACAGAGACTCCGCTGTTCTGGGGCCTGCATTGCTCTATATCAAGCCGGATTTCAGGGCTTTTTTCGGGGAGAAATCCTCCGCTCACTCACGCTGGCTCTCAGGCTCGCCAGTGGTGCATTTAGGACCGTTTTTGACGCGTTTTTTGGAGATTAAACCTCCGAGGACCCCGCCACTTCAGGAGCTGCCCTTGGCTCTATTGAAGCCCGGGTTCTTGCTCTCTCGCGGGGAGACCCGTAGTATTTACCCCCTGGGTCGCCGGTTAGACAGTGTGGTTCTCCCATCCCTATACAAGCGTAATTTTAACCCGGGCCCTCTCGGGAAGTCATTTATTTCTGCACACCCACACATACACGTTTTTGTTACCTGGTGGGTCCCTTTGACAGGGCCCTTCAGAATGGGACCCATAGACATAATCTTTTTTACTGGGACTACTTTAAGTAATACAAAACAGTCAAAACAGTCAATAGAAAACAAACAACTCTTTTAAAGGAATTTTATTTTTGATTTTTTTTTTCGAATTGCAGTGATTCTATTTTTGACATAGAATTTAATGCCACTCCATGTCCGATGTCTAAGGTCATCTGGTGAGGCATTAATGCAGGCCAGGCAGTGAGACTTCCCAGTCTGTATGAAAGGCGTCATGGTCTTCTCCACAGCCTTCACCTCAGATGCAGACCATGGCTTTCTTACACGTTCTAGGGAGAGAAATAAAAATATATTAGCAATATACACTCCCAGGGTTAGGACCAAGCAGCCTGGCTGTAATCCCCCACCTGGTACACTTACCAGAAGGGGCACTGCCACTACCATGGGGTGCATCTGGATGAATGGTTGAAGGTTCTCCGCTTGAAGTTTCTTTTAGCCCGTCCGTTTGTGAGAGGATCTCTACTGCTCTCCCTGTCGCACAGAAAATAAAAATACAAGTGGCCTTTAGGGGAAAAAAAATTATACATATTTTAATAATATCAAGAATTACCTTCAGGCTCAATTTGTATCTGGTCGAGGCTCTTTCCTTTGAATTCAGTCACTCTTCCCTGCTCCATGGCCATTAACACTTTGCTGATTTTGGCCAGCTCCAGTGTCCCCTCTGGTAGTCTGTAATATTGTCTGTGGATGCGAATGTCATGGCCGAGGAAGTTGGCTAGTATGTCCATTTCATATTGAGAACTGTAGACATAGTAGCCATGTGCTTTCTAAGTTTGGTTGAGGATAGCATCTCTGGATGCACCGCACCACATTCTTTGGCTACCTGCCGTAGGGAGTCTGATCCCCTGATGTGGGTGTCTGCGCCCGGGCGGGAGAAGAAGTATGGGTTATGGTCAGAGTTGGAACAGGCCCTTCTGTTCTCCACCAGCACCTCCATCCAAGCAATCATTTCAGGAGTCAAAAGAACCGGCACTTTCCGACTTCTTTTCCCTTTAATTTCAATGCGTTGAAAATGCTGACACAGCTTTTTCTCAAGTTCGGACAGTCCCAGAGCAATGTCAGAATGGATCCCTGTCTTACTTCTTAAGGTAAACGCTGTCAGTGGCATCTTTGAAACCTCCCCTTCCCTTCTTCGATTGAAAATAATGACCTCACAAAGAGTCAAAACTGCCAGTTTAGACCAATGCTTAGAGGTTGGCTCACTTATTAGGGTTTGCACATATTCAGGTCGACATACCTCAATATGTGCATGCATGGCTCTAACGTCCTCAGTCAGAGGGAGCAGGTCCGGAGTGTTCCACTTGGCTTGCCGGAGGGTCTGTAGGGCAGCAGAAGAAACACAGATGTCCCACCTCTTCTCAAAAAGCAGCCGGCTTCGTTGGAGGTTTTTAATAAATAGTTCATCAACACAATGCTCCATTTTTGAGTCACATTCAAGAATATCTGCTAGCTTTCTGAGGCTATGGCCGAGTTTGAGGGCCAAGGATGGAGTCTTGTATTGATTTGTTTCCTCATCATATCCAGCCGCAGACCTGACTGCATCAATCACATGGTTAAAGTTGGAAGGAATAAAGAAATCCTTAATTGTTTTCAGTTTCCCTGCGGTTTTTGCTTCGTTAATTAACCTACCGACTTCTCTCATTTTCTGCCTAATGTAATCATGCTTAGTCTTATCATGCCCGTGTTTTAAGTACAGGTGCTCTCCGAGTCTCAGAATCCCCTTTTCTGCTTTGACAACACCCGTGACCTCATCCTGATGCATTGCCGAAATTAAAGACCACAGCTTTTTGCTGATGCCCTCCGGTACAGGCTGGGCTAGGGAGCAGAGGGACTGGACCCTACTTCTACCTGGTTTAGCCTGGGCATCTTTCTGTGAAAGCCGGCACCTGGCCACATGCCTCCACAGCGACTTTCGCTTAAGCAATGCCCCACAGTCTATACAGTGCAAAAACTCACTGGATTTAACTGGGGAATTTGGCTGTTTAGCTGGGACTAAAGTTCCAATGCCGGCCTTTAAAACCTCAAAATTGTGCTCACGGTTTCCACTATTCCTGATCAAATCAAACTGAAGTTTACGTGCTTTAGATTTCACAGGTAGAGCCAATGCTCTGGCTACGTCACTTTCATTTCCATGTTTTCTAGTCAAATGACGGGACATTTTGTGGCAGGACATTGAACAGTAGAGGCAGAAGTGCCTCATGCTGTAAACTCTCCCCCCATTTTTCTTCTTTTGCAGCTGCATGATAACAATCTTATTTGCCTTTGGTTCGTCACTTTCCGAGTCTTGAAGAAAAGTGTTTTGGATTTTTCTTTTTCCATACTTTTTTACAGGTTTCTTCTAGACAGTTAAATCGTCAGAAACTGAGTCGACTTCATCAATTAGGGACTCTTGACTAAGCTGCACAAACAACAAATAATTTGTAATCATTCTATATAACAATTTGAAGTCATGACTTGTAGTCAGCACTTACCAGTGGTTTGTAAGCGTGCGCTTCAATGTGCTCCTCCATGATTTCTTGCAGCCTAATGAACCACACACTTGCACCTTTTCTAGCCTGACACCTGATTTCCTCTGTTGTGCTGCTCCATGATTGGCTCCAGCCTGCTGGACTGAAATTGCCCCAGTGTGCCCCTCCTTGATATCCCGCAACCCACCACCAGGGTTCCGACACATAACACACTTTTTTCAGGAAAGTAAACCTCCAGGGGTCCTTTCCATATTTTTACAGAGACTGCATAAGGACCGTTAGAAAAGCATTACCCATTGATTATTAAGCTTGGACCAGTGGGGTCCGGTGTTCGGGCCCCACCACGTAAAACCAGTCCCCATGACGTGAGTGGAATCTCAGGTTATGGAACCCACCAGGAGTTGAAAACAAGTGCACACACACACAGACACACACACACAGAAAAAAGAAGACGGTAAATAGTCTCCTTTAAACTACAGTACGACTTCTTTAAACTGCTCTTTCCACTCGTTTATTTTTGAGTCCTGTCGACGCCCGAGGGTCTGAGGACAGTGATGCTCCGGATGTTTGGATGATTTCTAAACCTGTGGTTATCCTTGGACCAATGTCTTTGGGTTTGTTTTGATTGTGTTTGTGACGTCCTCGGAGACGACTGTGAGTCAGGGCTGTACAAAAGTGAAAGTAAATGTAAATGTAACAGTACGTCTCCTTTAACCTTTGGTCCATGTGTTTCCTTGTCGTAGCAAACCACGGACCCCAACTTCCCCGAGACCCTCATCATCGCCATCAACAAGCACGGAGTGAGCCTCATCGACCCCAAGACCAAGGTAAGACTGGGACTGGGACTGGGACTTGGGACTGGGACCTGAGACTGGGACCTGGGACGGGAACTAGGATCGCCCAGGTGTGAGTCCCATGTCCTCTGATGGAACAGCACCACTTACAGTACTTACTTACCTACTCCACCCTACCCTATCTTACTCTATCGTACTCTACTCTACCCTACCCTCCCCTCCCCTCCCCTCCTCTGACTCCTGTCCCTGTGCTCTCAGGACCTGCTGACCACTCATCCATTCACTAAGATCTCTAACTGGAGCAGTGGGAACACATACTTCCACATCACCATCGGGAACCTGGTGCGAGGGAGCAAGCTGCTGTGTGAGACCGCACTGGTGAGACTGGTCACATTAGACAAGGTTTTTTGCTTAGCACAAACAGGCACACAAAGCTCTGGAATTCATTAAAAGGATAAAAGATAGTCCTTCAGTTGTTGCAGAAACTACTGTTTTTAACCTGGATTTAAACTTTGTCAGAGAAAAATCTGTCTCACATTTTCAGGAAGACTGTTCCAGATGTTAGCATAAATCTGAAACACTGCCTCCACATGTTTAGTCCTGACTCTTGGACCAGCAGGAGGCCAGTCCCTGTGCTCCTCAAAGTCCCAGCAGGAGGCCAGTCCCTGTGCTCCTCAGATTCCATAGGGCACTAACAGGTGTTCTTTGGTACAAGGCCAGAGCTGTTTTAAAGTCTTTTCTCAAATGTGAGGGAAATTCAAAAGTGTTTGACAAACAAAGGAGACTTTCAAAGAATTCATGAAACATGTTAGATCACAGACAGATCACAGACAGATCACAGACAGATAAAAGACAGATCAGAGACAGATCACAGACAGATAACAGACAGATAACAGACAGATCAGAGACAGATCAGAGACAGATCAGAGACAGATCACAGACAGATCAGAGAAAGATCAGAGACAGATCTAAGACAGATCAGAGACAGATCACAGACAGATCACAGACAGATCAGAGACAGATCACAGACAGATCACAGACAGATCAGAGACAGATCAGAGACAGATCACAGACAGATCAGAGACAGATCAGAGACAGATCACAGACAGATCACAGACAGACCACAGACAGACCACAGACAGATCACAGACAGATCACAGACAGACCACAGACAGATCATAGACAGACCAGTGTTTCCTAAAGTTGTGTGTGGCGTGTGTTGTCGCAGGGCTACAAGATGGACGATCTGCTGACCTCCTACATCAGCCAGATGCTGACCACCATGACCAAGCAGAGCACGGGACGCAACACCTCCAAATGAGCCTCACTGTGGACCAGGGCTGTCACACTGTAGAAAGAGTATAGCACTGTTCCACGTGAGGCTGGAGAGTTCAGAGACGGCAGCTTTATCAGCAGCAAAATCAATAACAAATACAAAAGTATATAAAAATAAAGTTTGAATTAAAAAGTATCTGAACATTGTGCCTGGAGTCCCTGATGTTGGCGGCGATGGTAGCCTGGTCTTTCCACACCATGGTACTCATTTCATTTGTACGGTCTGGATTTAACAGGTGGGAGGGGCTAACTCCTTTTGCAGATTGAAGCCATTGGATCTGAGTTTACTGTGACGTATGTAATGAAGCCGAGTGAGTGAGGCATTTAGCATCTAGCCTAACTTTAGCGTGTATCCTCGCTTTAGCATTAGCCTAGCTTTAGCCATCTCCTTTGCCACTAACGGAGCCCGTGGGGAGTAGAGCTTCAATGGCATTTGCTAAACATTCCTCTTGCTCCGGCTTCAGTTTCTTGATATTTGGATTGAATCAGAACAGATTATTTTACTATCGCATTCTCCATGGACCAGAGTTTACACATGGTAAGACCCAGACATACATGTAAGAAATTATCATGGACCAGAGTTTACACATGGTGCATATAAAAACTATAAAATACACAGTAAAACTGCTCTAATAAAATACTACAGTAGAGTTGTCTGTGATTCTTAGAGCAGTAAAAACGTCTCTTTGTGTCGTGGACATTTGGGCACAGCCTTTTGTATTTGTCGGTCGTCATGGTGATCTGGGACATTATGCCCTCTGTGTTTCCCATGTTATGGGTTTTCTTCATCATCATGTTCTGTGTTTGTAGAAATGAATGTCTTACTAAAGTCTGTCTTTGTTGATGAATAAATGAACGACTTTGAAAATGGCTCGACTCAATTCTTTCAGAGTCAGTTTATACACTGAACCTTCTCTGAGATTTATACAGTATATAACTCCTGCTCTATATGTACAGTATATAACTCCTGCTCTATATGTACAGTATATAACTCCTGCTCTATATGTACAGTATATAACTCCTGCTCTATATATACAGTATATAACTCCTGCTCTATATGTACAGTATATAACTCCTGCTCTATATGTACAGTATATAACTCCTGCTCTATATATACAGTATATAACTCCTGCTCTATATATACAGTATATAACTCCTGCTCTATATGTACAGTATATAACTCCTGCTATTTATGTACAGTATATAACTCCTGTCCTATATGTACAGTATATAACTCCTGCCCTATATGTACAGTATATAACTCCTGCCCTATATGTACAATATAACTCCTGCTCTAAATGTACAGTATATAACTCCTGTCCTATATGTACAATATAACTCCTGCTTTAAATGTACAGTATATAACTCCTGTCCTGTATGTACAGTATATAATAGAAACATTTACAGATAGTTAAGAAACATAGCTAATACTTATTGTGTGTGCTCCCTGTGTCTCTCACTACAGTCCTGTCTGTGCGCTGCAACATCGACATTTCCCCACTCTGGGACGAATAAAGGAACATCTTATTTTCTGAAGTCGTTTGGGGCTAGAATTATTTCATTATTTTCAGAAATCTTGTCAAGTCATAATTTCTTCTCAGATAATTTTTATTATTTTAAGCAGCATTTTACTTATTTTCATTTATTTTTTAAGGGATTTTTCCAATTTTACTGATGAACCAATAGGAACATGTCTCCATCAGAAGATTTCTCGTCTGCAGAGGCAGAGGTGCGAGGGCTGAGGTCAGAGGGCAGAGGTCAGAGGCCAGAGGCCAGAGGTCAGAGGGCTGAGGGCAGAGTGCTGAGGTCAGAGTTCTGAGGGCAGAGGGCAGATGACAGATGACAGAGGGCAGAGGTCAGAGGGTAAAAATATTGACTGTGCAGTTGGTGAAAGATCTTTCAAAAACAATCTGACAATCTGAAATTATACATAATCTTTATTGCAAAACTAGATACATTCTATATATTCTTATATAAAAGAGGTCTGAGTCTGTATGTATACTGAGACAGAGGTCTGCATGTATACTGAGACAGAGGTGTGTATGTATACTGAGACAGGGCTGTATGTGTACTGAGACAGAGGTCTGTATGTATACTGAGACAGGTCTGTATGTATACTGAGACAGAGGTCTGTATGTATACTGAGACAGAGGCCCGTATACTGAGACAGAGGTCTGTATGTATACTGAGACAGAGGTATTGTGAGATTTCATAACACTTTTAAGAAACTTTTGTTAAAGTTAAACTCATCATTCTATCAATGTGCAGAAGCCAGTACTTTTCCATTTGATGTTTTGTCTATCTGAAGGCCGAGCTACAAGCACACCGTGGCAGCTGCTGATTGGAGGACTTCATTCTCCCTATATTATCACTAACAGTTTGTAACATCCCTTGTTCGTGTGCTTTGTTCGTGCTGTCTCTAAAACAATAAAACATGTCTTCTATCTGAATGAAAGACGCAATCCCAGACTTTGTCATCTTCTTCAGTATGTATACTGAGACAGAGGTCTGTATGTATACTGAGACAGAGGTGTGTATGTATGCTGATACAGAGGTCTTTATGTATACTGAGACAGAAGTCTGTATGTATACTGAGACAGAGGTGTGTATGTATGCTGAGACAGAGGTCTTTATGTATACTGAGACAGAGGTCTGTATGTATACTGAGACAGAGGTGTGTATGTATACTGAGACAGAGGTCTGTATGTATACTGAGACAGGTCTGTATGTATACTGAGACAGAGGTCTGTATGTATACTGAGACAGAAGTCTGTATGTATACTGAGACAGAGGTCTGTATGTATATTGAGATAGGTCTGTATGTATACTGAGACAGAGGTCTGTATGTATACTAAGACAGAGGTCTGTATGTATACTGAGACAGGTCTGTATGTATACTGAGACAGAGGCACGTATACTGAGACAGAGGTCTATATGAATACTGAGACAAAGTTTTGTATGTATACTGAGACAGGGTTGTATGTATACTGAGACAGGTCTGTATGTATACTGAGACATAGGTCTGTATGTATACTGAGACAGGTCTGTATGTATACTGAGACAGGGCTGTATGTGTACTGAGACAGAGGTCTGTATGTATACTGAGACAGAGGTCTGTATGTATACTGAGACAGGTCTGTATGTATACTGAGGCAGAGGTATGTATACTGAGACAGAGGTATGTATACTGAGACAGAGGTCTGTATGTATACTGAGACAGAGGCACGTATACTGAGACAGAGGTATTGTGAGATTTCATAACACTTTTAAGCAACTTTTGTTAAAGTTAAAATCATCATTCTATCAATGTGCAGAAGCCGAGCTACAAGCACACCGTGGCAGCTGCTGATTGGAGGACTTCATTCTCCCTATATTATCACTAACAGTTTGTAACATCCCTTGTTCGTGTGCTTTGTTCGTGCTGTCTCTACCATTGACAATAAAACATGTCTTCTATCTGAATGAAAGACGCGATCCCAGACTTTGTCATCTTCTTCAGTATGTATACTGAGACAGAGGTCTGTATGTATACTGAGACAGAGGTGTGTACTGTATGTATGCTGAGACAGAGGTCTGTATGTATACTGAGACAGAGGTCTGTATGTATACTGAGACAGAGGTGTGTATGTATACTGAGACATAGGTCTGTATGTATACTGAGACAGAGGTGTGTATGTATACTGAGACAGAGGTCTGTATGTATACTGAGACAGAGGTCTGTAGGTATATTGAGACAGAGGTGTGTATGTATACTGAGACAGAGGTGTGTATGTATATTGAGACAGAGGTGTGTATGTATACTGAGACATAGGTCTGTATGTATACTGAGACAGAGGTGTGTATGTATACTGAGACAGAGGTCTGTATGTATACTGAGACAGAGGTCTGTAGGTATATTGAGACAGAGGTCTGTAGGTATATTGAGACAGAGGTCTGTATGTATACTGAGACAGAGGTCTGTATGTATACTGAGACAGAGGTCTGTAGGTATATTGAGACAGAGGTCTGTAGGTATATTGAGACAAAGGTCTGTATGTACACTGAGACAGAGGATAAAGTGTATCATATAAACTGCTGGTTCCTCTTGGTTCATGGTGGGGGGGTCCTGGTCCTCTGGGGGGCTCAGGTCAAAGCGAGTCTTCAGCATTTGCACTGCTCACTGACCACACCTCACACAGCTCTGCAACACACACACAGACACACACAGACATACACACACACACACACACACACACACGCACACACACAGACGCACAGACACAGACACACACAGACACACGCAGACATACACACACACATACACACACTCACAGTTAGAGGTCTTGAGGACATATACTTTATTTAAAGCAGTGGTACCTGTGCTGATGTAGGTCCCTGTGTCCAGAGCCCTGTGAGCTGAGATTAGGGACAGAGACCGCTCCCTCCACCTACAGCAGGAAGGGACAGTTTATTTGTATGGCACAGGTCATACACAAGGCAACACACGTCTTTGTAAAGTCACAGAAGTAAACACTGGAGATGGGGCTTGAATAAAATACATGAACGACAACAGAGACAAATATGCAGCACTCCATCTAGTGGTCAAAGCAGGAACTACTGTTTTACTAATGTAAACTAATGTAAACTAATGTAGACTAATGTAGACTAATGTAGACTAATGTAAACTAATGTAGACTAATGTAGACTAATGACAACTAATGAAAACTAATGTAGACCAATGTAGACTAATGTAGACTAATGTAAACTAATGTAGACTAATGTAAACTAATGTATACTGATGCAAACTAATGTAGACTAATGTAGACTAATGTAAACTAATGTATACTGATGTAGACTAATGTACACTAATGTAGACTAATGACGACTAATGTAGACTAATGTAAACTAATGTAGACCAATGTAGACTAATGTAGACTAATGTAGACTAATGTAGACTAATGTAAACTAATGTAGACCAATGTAGACTAATGTAGACTAATGTAAACTAATGTAGATGAATGTATACTAATGTAGACTAATGTAAACTAATGTAGACCAATGTAGACTAATGTAGACTAATGTTAACTAATGCAGACTAATGTAAACTAATGTATACTGATGCAAACTAATGTGGATTAATGTAGACTAATGTAAACTAATGTAGACCAATGTAGACTAATGTAAGCTAATGTAGACTAATGTAGACTAATGACGACTAATGTAGACTGATGTAAACTAATGTAAACTAATGTAGACTAATGTAGATTAATGTAAACTAATGTAGACTAATTTAAACTAATGACGACTAATGTAAACTAATGTAAACTAATGACGACTAATGACAACTAATGTAGACTAATGTAAACTAATGACGACTAATGTAAACTAATGACAACTAATTTAGACTAATGTAAACTAATGTAGACTAAGGTAGACTAATGTAAACTAATGCAGACAAATGTAAACTAATGTAGACTAATGTAAACTAATGTAGACTAATGTAGACTAATGACAACTAATGAAAACTAATGTAGACCAATGTAGACTAATGTAGACTAATGTAAACTAATGTAGACTAATGTAAACTAATGTATACTGATGCAAACTAATGTAGACTAATGTAGACTAATGTAAACTAATGTATACTGATGTAGACTAATGTACACTAATGTAGACTAATGACGACTAATGTAGACTAATGTAAACTAATGTAGACCAATGTAGACTAATGTAGACTAATGTAGACTAATGTAAACTAATGTAGACCAATGTAGACTAATGTAGACTAATGTAAACTAATGTAGATGAATGTATACTAATGTAGACTAATGTGAACTAATGTAGACCAATGTAGACTAATGTAGACTAATGTTAACTAATGCAGACTAATGTAAACTAATGTATACTGATGCAAACTAATGTGGATTAATGTAGACTAATGTAAACTAATGTAGACCAATGTAGACTAATGTAAGCTAATGTAGACTAATGTAGACTAATGACGACTAATGTAGACTGATGTAAACTAATGTAAACTAATGTAGACTAATGTAGATTAATGTAAACTAATGTAGACTAATTTAAACTAATGACGACTAATGTAAACTAATGTAAACTAATGACGACTAATGACAACTAATGACGACTAATGTAAACTAATGACAACTAATTTAGACTAATGTAAACTAATGTAGACTAAGGTAGACTAATGTAAACTAATGCAGACAAATGTAAACTAATGTAGACTAATGTAGACTAATGTAAACTAATGACGACTAATGTAGACTAAGGTAGACTAATGTAGACTAATGACGACTAATGTAGACTAATGTAAAGTAATGTAAACTAATGACGACTAATGTAGACTAAGGTAGACTAATGTAAACTAATGTAGACTAATGTAAACTAATGTAGACTAATGTAAACAAATGTAGACTAAGGTAGACTAATGTAAACTAATGTAGACTAATGTAAACTAATGTAGACTAATGCAGACTAATGTAAACGAATGTAAACTAATGTAGACTCATGTAGACTAATGTAGACTCATGTAAACTGACTCACCAGTGGAAGCAGAAGAGCAGCAGCACCAGCAGCAGAGACACCAGGTCTGAGAGAGTCCAGAGAGTCTGGTACTGGACTGGACTCTAACACACACACACACACACACACCAGTCTGCCATGGTCTACATCAGAGCTGTTAGACCAGTCCTCAGGGCAGGTGCGGCTGCAGGAGCACATCAGACTCCGCCTATTTCTTCAGGTCACTCCAGTATGAACCTGAAGGAGGAGCCTACTGAGCTCCTGTAGCCACACCTGCCCTGAGGCCTGCTGTGCTCCTGCTGTTGTAGCCACACCTGCCCTGAGAACCACTGTCACCCCTGGTCTACATGTAGTTGTGTTGCTGCAGGTGCGTACCATGAGCAGCAGGGGGTGCACCATGAGCATGTCCTGGTAGGTGTGTTGCTGCTGGTGCGTACCATGAGCATGTCCTGGTAGGTGTGTTGCTGCAGGTGCGTACCATGAGCATGTCCTGGTAGGTGTGTTGCTGCAGGTGCGTACCATGAACATGTCCTGGTAGGTGTGTTGCTGCTGGTGCGTATCATGAACATGTCCTGGTAGGTGTGTGGCTGCAGGTGTGTACCATGAACATGTCCTGGTAGGTGTGTTGCTGCTGGTGCGTACCATGAACATGTCCTGGTAGGTGTGTTGCTGCTGGTGCGTACCATGAGCATGTCCTGGTAGGTGTGTTGCTGCAGGTGCGTACCATGAGCATGTCCTGGTAGGTGTGTTGCTGCAGGTGCGTACCATGAACATGTCCTGGTAGGTGTGTGGCTGCAGGTGCGTACCATGAACATGTCCTGGTAGGTGTCTTGGTGCAGGTGCGCACTATGAACATGTCCTGGTAGGTGTGTTGGTACAGGTGTGTACCATAAGCATGTCCTGGTAGGTGTGTTGGTGCAGGTGCGTACCATGAGCAGCAGGGGCGTACCATGAGCAGCAGGGGGCGCCTCATGTCCCTCAGCGTGTGGGGACAGTTGGACGTCACAGACTGGACGCCGCTGCACCAGGCCACAGAGAACAGCCAGGGCTCACTGACCACGTACAGGTTCACACTGATGTTCAGCAACGCATACTGCCTGCAACACACACACACCACACACACACACACACACAGATGTTCAGCAACGCATACTGCCTGCAACACACACAAACACACACACACAGATGTTCAGCAACGCATACTGCCTGCAACACACACAAACACACACACACACACACTGATGTTCAGCAACGCATACTGCCTGCAACACACACACACCACACACACACACACACACAGATGTTCAGCAACGCATACTGCCTGCAACACACACAAACACACACACACAGATGTTCAGCAACGCATACTGCCTGCAACACACACAAACACACACACACACACTGATGTTCAGCAACGCATACTGCCTGCAACACACACACACACACACACACACACACACACACTGATGTTCAGCAACGCATACTGCCTGCAAAACACACACACAAACACACACACACACACACACTGATGTTCAGCAACGCATACTGCCTGGAACGCACACACACACCCACACAGATGTTCAGCAACGCATACTGCCTGCAACACACACACACAGACACACTGATGTTCAGAAACGCATACTGCCTACAACACAACACACACACCTGACCATGCTCGCAGACACATGGCTGTAGTGCAGGTTGAGTCTGACGATGTTGTTCCTCTGCAGATCCTCCAGGGGGCGCTGACTCCCTGAGGTCTGCTGCAGATCTGGCTCCAGCTCCTGAACCTGATCCCGTAGGTCTGAGGGCAACCACAGCACCTGAGGACACACACCGCCAGCCTCAGTCCTGGGTCTACAGCCTCAGAGCTGCTGATCAGAGCGGAGTCAGAGCAGGAAGGAAAGGAGCAGAGTTTGTGGCAGTAAAGTGTGGATTTAAAGAAAACAGAAGGATTTAAGAAGAAAAAAAGTTCAGGATGACAAGGGACACTAAAATCCCCACAAGATCTGATCTTTATGAAAGCTGTAGGTTCTCCGTCAGGTTCTCTGTAGGTTCTCTGTAGGTTCTCTGTCAGGTTCTCTGTCAGGTTCTCTGTCAGGTTCTCTGTCAGGTTCTCTGTAGGTTCTCTGTAGGTTCTCTGTCAGCTGAGGTCGAGCTGCTTTTAATTTACATTGAGTTCTATGGGACTTTTTTCTGGGCAGCCCACGTGAATCTAGTCTGCAGTACCACAGCGCCCCTGTGGCCATGGGTGGGACAGCTATAAGCTAGTAATACTCTATCCAGTTATTATTATAGATCCATGCCTCTCGAAAACCTCTTTACAGGATGGTCCAAAAGTGGCTCTTGGTCCAAAGATTGCTCAGACCTGGGAGGGAGGGGGCAGAGACCTTAGGGAGGGGGCACAGACCTGGGAAGGGGGAATGGCCGACTGGTTGAGCACCACGTCCAGGATGCGTTGGATCCAGGTGTCCCGGTGGGGGTGGGCCGGGGGCGGGCGGTGCAGGTCGAACAGGACCATGGACCCGGAGCCTGAGGCCAGGTGCAGCAGGTCCAACAGAGACGGGACGCTCTGCTGCTGCGCCTGCTGCATCTCCTGCTGCGACAGGGAGCCTGCTGTGTGGAAGGGGTCAGTCTGCAACACACACACAAAGACATATATACACACACACAGACACACAACAGACACACACACAGACACACACAACATACAGTAGGTCCCATTCCGTTTTGTCGCCTTTCACGCGTGAATCACACGAGAATCACGTGTGATTCACGCGTCTTTTATTTTCCCCCCTCCCAGTGACGTTGCAATGACCAAAACAACCACCAGGTGGCACTTGTGAGCAGGGTTACATTGGCGAGTTTCTGCCCCGCGCACATCGACAATCTGGTTTAAACGGGCAACTCCTTGTAGCAGGCCAGTCTCTGGAAAACCCGCAGAGACATTAAAACTACTGCATATAACGTAAACTTTTGCATCACGTTGGTGATCTTTCCAAAAAGAGAGAATATCGTTATGGAAAGAGAAACTATTGGCTCCGCTGGTGTCTCCTCCCACTCAGAAAAAAAGCAGACGCCTTTTCTCTGGCATCTCTAACATTTATAATAAATACATAAATATAACAATCATAATGAAGATGCTTTCAAATAATTTAGCAAGCTGTAATTCATTTATTTCAACTGCCAAACTTCTCTCGCTGCTCCTCTCCTCTCCTCCGCAAATCACTAAATGAGGAAAAGGGAATATTCACTCAATCTATTTTGAATGTTACAACATACAATATTAATATAGTCTAAGCACGTGTACCACATGTAGCCCGTGTATTTACCACAGACTGTAAGTATTAAAGTAATGAGGCCCCTGCTTTAGGCCTCTGCTGTGAGGCCCACACCGTCATCAGTCTCGGTGCCTCTGTGTAGATCACACGTCTGTCCTCGGGCTGGAGTGTTCTGAGGCTTTAAGCGGGGAGTCAGGAAGGAGCGATCCTGTTTGTCAGCATGATTTTTTTGTTTAACAGCCTCCCTGCGCGATTGCAAATGTACTCAAGGGACTCCCATACCGTGGCTCACATATATTATATTATATAGGGATCAGGAGCTTTCTGACCCGACCCACCCGCACCTGACATGACTCATATTTTTGAGGCATCCAACCCGCCCGAAACCGCGGGACCCGCGGGTTGACTGCGGGTTTCGGGCCGACCCGCGCATCTCGCATGTCCTGTTCAGGGCTGCAGGAGCAATTGTCCATTATTTTAATTGGACTTCTGGTCCATGCACACTGTAAAAAAGATAAAGTTAGTTCAACTCAAAATTTCAAAGCAACCAGCTGCGAAGGATTTTTGAGTTGAAGGCATTAACTTAATTCTTCAAGTTTTGAAGAACTACACTTATTAAGTTGTGTCAGTTAAGTTTTCCAAGTTCTGCCAACTAAGTGTTTAAATTCAAGTTACTGGAAATTTCAAGTCTGTAAAAACTTACTTTTTTAAGTTCAGATTACTGTCGCGAGCAGAGAGAGAGAGAGAGAGGTGAGCAGAGAGAGAGAGACGCGAGCAGAGAGAGACGTGAGCAGAGAGAGAGAGACGTGAGCAGAGAGAGAGAGACGCGAGCAGAGAGAGAGAGAGGTGAGCAGAGAGAGAGAGACGTGAGCAGAGAGAGAGAGACGTGAGCAGAGAGAGAGAGAGAGAGGTGAGCAGAGAGAGACGTGAGCAGAGAGAGAGAAACGCGAGCAGAGAGAGAGAGACGCGAGCAGAGAGAGAGAGAGACGTGAGAGCAGAGAGAGAGAGACGCGAGCAGAGAGAGAGAGCAGAGAGAGAGAGACGCGAGCAGAGAGAGACGTGAGCAGAGAGAGAGAGAGACGTGAGCAGAGAGAGAGACGCGAGCAGAGAGAGAGAGACGCGAGCAGAGAGAGAGAGAGACGTGAGCAGAGAGAGAGAGACGCGAGCAGAGAGAGAGAGAGCAGAGAGAGAGAAAGACGCGAGCAGAGAGAGACGTGAGCAGAGAGAGAGACGTGAGCAGAAAGAGAGAGACGTGAGCAGAGAGAGAGAGACGTGAGCAGAGAGAGACGTGAGCAGAGAGAGACGTGAGCAGAGAGAGAGAGACGTGAGCTGAAAGAGAGAGACGCGAGCAGAGAGAGAGAGGCGTGAGCAGAGAGAGAGAGAGAGAGGTGAGCAGAGAGAGAGAGAGAGAGGTGAGCAGAGAGAGACGTGAGCAGAGAGAGACGTGAGCAGAGAGAGAGAGACGTGAGCAGAAAGAGAGAGACGTGAGCAGAGAGAGACGCGAGCAGAGAGAGAGAGACGTGAGCAGAAAGAGAGAGACGCGAGCAGAGAGAGAGAGGCGTGAGCAGAGAGAGAGAGAGAGAGCTCGGTGAACTGTAAAAAACGACAACTCAAAATTGTTCACCTTACAGTTTTGTATGTGATGACCAAAGCGATGAAATGAGGACTACTGGTTTTACAGAAACTATTCAGTCGTGAAAAGTATGTTTCATTCTGATTGACAGGACAGAAGCAAATGTTAATGTTATAAAACAGCAGAGAACTGTATGAAAGTAACTGATACATGTCCAAAAGCATTTGTAAAGTGTTCAAAGGAGAAACTGCCGCGATGATGTCACACACGACTCAATGTTGTGGAGGTTCTACCGTAATGATTTTTTGTATGTTTTTCTACGTAAATACTGTATGTGTACTATTTTTTGTTGCAGAATGCTGTAGAATTGCAAAGAGCATAAGCAGTAAATATGTGAACATACAGTACATACATATGTATCACTAAATACAATCACAATGAAAACATGACTAAATCATTTGACTGTTGTTCATAAACACTGATGTCAGGACACAGACACAGACCGTTTCATTGACATGAAGACTTTCTTTTGAGGAATTAAGTTCATTTTGAGAAAGTGACTTTTTAGCAGGTTATCCATGAGGTTTTGCAGTTTTCACTCATTGTTCTGAGAAATGCACTAACTGTTGTTAAAATGTGAAGAATTATGTGAAAAATGCACCAAAGACACTGAGAAAAACTGATTACAAAATATATACAGCGCATTCTCAGGGTACACAGCACTGCCATGGCATCTCTTCTGCATTGCAGCTCTCCCTCCCCCACACGAATAAACAAAGCCCACCCCAGCCCCCTGCTGTTATAAGTCATTACCTACATTTGCAAATCAATACATGCAAATGTTAGCAGCCAACCTAGCAAGTTAGCTCCCTGTTCTCAAAACAGGGGCCAATTTCGGTTGGGTTTTCTAGTGTTAAGAAGAACAGGTGCGAGAGACGTGAGCAGAGAGAGAGAGAGACGTGAGCAGAGAGAGAGAGACGTGAGCAGAGAGAGAGAGCAGAGAGAGACGTGAGCAGAGAGAGAGAGAGACGTGAGCAGAGAGAGAGAGACGTGAGCAGAGAGAGAGAGAGCAGAGAGAGACGTGAGCAGAGAGAGAGACGCGAGCAGAGAGAGACGTGAGCAGAGAGAGAGAGACGTGAGCAGAGAGAGACGTGAGCGAGAGAGAGAGAGACGTGAGCAGAGAGAGAGAGACGCGAGCAGATAGAGAGAGAGAGAGGTGAGCAGAGAGAGACGCGAGCAGAGAGAGACGTGAGCAGAGAGAGAGAGACGTGAGCAGAGAGAGAGAGAGAGAGACGTGAGCAGAGAGAGACGTGAGCAGAGAGAGAGAGACGCGAGCAGAGAGAGAGAGAGCAAGAGAGAGAGAGAGACGCGAGCAGAGAGAGAGAGAGAGACGTGAGCAGAGAGAGAGAGACGCGAGCAGAGAGAGAGAGAGAGAGAGAGGTGAGCAGAGAGAGACGTGAGCAGAGAGAGAGAGACGCGAGCAGAGAGAGAGAGAGCAGAGAGAGAGAGAGCAACGCCAAATTGTTGTAGAATTATATACCCCATGAAGGAGAAAACAGAGAGAGAGAGAGAAAGGTCCTTTGTCTGATCAAAAGCGTAAGTTTATTGTTAACGCACGTGCGGAGAGCTCATACACACAAAGGCAGCATGCATCAGCTCTGAGCCAGAGCCCCGAGTTTCCTGTATTACAAGACACACACGAAAGACAGTCCCGCCCACAACAGATCGGAGGGGGCCACCGGTGAAGGAGGCGCATAGGAAGCGCAGGCGTCATGCCCCTGTGGTGAGGCAATCAGACACAGGGCATGACGGTGCGAACAGACAGACAATGGTAGAAGATGCAAGCATACAGATGCGAGATGCGAAAGACACAAGGGTGTGACAGACAGCAGGGGGCCCTCACAAAGCTCAGCATGGCATCAGAAGGGCGTCTCTGCATTGATAAAAGGCCTTTGACGTCCGTGTATTTGCTGCGGCTGGTTTTATGTAATTACTCCAAAAACTGTCACCACAACACCAACAACCGTTTGTGTATATATTAGGGCTGTCAAAATTATCGTTTTGACTCACGTTAATTACATTTTTTATTAACGCGTTATTTTTTTAAACGCATTAACGCATGTCATGACCCGCCCATTTATCCATAAGAATATCACTCAGAATGCTGCGTGTGAGATGGCCTCCTCCGTGGCCGCTCTGGTTGTTGTTAGCGGCTATGAGTGAGTGCAAGCTTTGCACGGGCTGCAAGCATGGATCTAGCTATTATAATAACAGCAGCAAGCGATTGCTCCGTTCACATACTCAGCGCTCTGCGCACTGTATTCTCCCTGGTTCTTGACTGTCAGGCGTGAGTGTTGCTCGTGTGTGTCTTTGGGAACTAATTATTTTAAAATAGTCTCTTTCAATTGCAAGTTTTGTAATCTGTTTGTTTGATCAATGGATAAAAATAAATGCAATTTAATTAAATGGCACCTTGGCCTGTCTTATACCTGTTTGCCTGCAGGACAGTTCCCTAAACTAACATATCATACTAAAATAGTATGATATGCTAGTCGTTGCTGTCCTTGGACAAGACACTTAACCCCACTTTGCCCAAAAGCTCCCACTGAAAGATCAAGGCTATGCTCACACTCAGAGAGCAGCCGCCCTCCTGTGGACTCACCACCTGCAGAGGGTCAGTGAGGGGCTGGTGCTATGAGACTTGGGTGGCATCTCTGACTGCCACCCCCCTGACCCAGA